GCTATTGTAGTTAGAGGCAAGTTTGGCAGCTTGTAATTTCTGAACGCAAATCGCAAAACTCGAGTGCAGCTGCGGGTCGGAAGTTAACAGGCTTCTAAATCAGATCACTCTGATTTAGACGAAATTCTTCTGCGCAAAAAATGGGCGTAGGAAGAAAAATTGTGGAACTTTTACTGTTGGAAAAGTTTCCTTTTTGTTGTGCAGATCAAACACGTCTTAGCATCAATAAAAATCAGAAGCCGTATCGAAATCTTTAGGCTTCCCTCTACTGAAAAGTATAAGAAACTTGGTGTCAAAGTCCGACCGGACGCCGCAAAAATGCATTTGAAAATGAAATTTCCAAAAGTGCCCGGAAACTTCCTTTACAACCTAATAGTTGAGTTACGATAGTTTGGCCATGTATCAGACTAATTGATCGAGTATACTGATGGACCAAAATTTGGATGAGGGAGTTCCGTATTAGGAGAATTTTCCCGACTTGTTGAGCTTGATGTTCGCCATATCAGAGCCCTTAGTTGGACATGTACTTTATTCAAAACTAAACCTTTTACTATAACAACTCGGTCGAATATATTAGGTCGTTCCATATCGTAGCGTTTTCATTTTCGTCGTCGTTTTCTGATGAAGCAGTTGGTTTACGGCAAATTATCTGTTATTAAGCGAAACAGCCAAATTTTTTTCTCTACAAAACCTGCTTGTTGTTTTTGAAGCAATCCTGATGATCTTTGGTTCATAATTTCTCAAAGCAAAGTTTTTTGAGTGGCAGAAAATGGCCATTGGCACCTGAACTTTTACCATTTCGTCCATATCCCACGAATATTTTTCCGTAAAAAACAAAAAAAAACAAAACACTACACAAAAACTCTGCTTTAAGCAGTCACAAAACAAAGGTCATCAGATTTAATTTGAAAATAAAACGCAATTCTTGTAGAGTAGAATTGGCTCTTTCGGAGGGTACACATATTTTGTGGTAAACCAACTACTTCACCAGAAAACAACGACAAAAATAAAAACGCTACGAACTTATGGAACGACCTAATAATAGCCCATCACATTGAACGAGAACACGAAAAGAGGCCATAGGAAGTTTGAGATAGTAACCTAAATATGTGTTTATTGTCAAAACAGTATCGCTAGAAGTGTAGTAGTGCATTGAGAGGTCACTCGATGCTTGTACGAAGTGTAAAATGTTTATTATTGTCGGAGTGAATCTAATCTTGCTCTATGCTAGGGTTTTTACCCATAAATCACGTTCGTGAATACGGGTTAATCGTTTTCCAGGGTGAACCCTGCCCTATCCTACTCTCAAGGGTTCGTCGGTGAATACGACCAAAGGGCTACTTTCCTTTCCGTTTTACGCGTTTTATTGTTTTTAGGTGGCGCCCCTAATCACTCACGCTTTCCAGTCTAGAATCATTATACAGTGCTGGCTAAAATTATAGGTCCACTCTAAAAAATGCAACTCACTCTGTTGTGAATGAATTTCTCCAAAATTTGGTAGAAATGTGTGTTTACCAGCCTACTATCAGTCTTTGAAACGGTTCTCGTTTTCGTCTGATTATTCAAGAAAAAATTAGAAATTTTGAAAAAGCAGGCTTGAAGCCTGGCCAAAATTGTAGGTCCACCTGGAGTTTTTACTGATTAAGGCACTTCTTAGCTCCCAAATTTTTTTTAGGTAGGCACACATCTAAAAACGTTAAACAGCTGCTTTAGTCAAGCTGTGTCCCTCCACAAAGGACGGATTATCTGCTTTTTTGCTTGAAGATGCTCTCACATGTATTTCGCTCCACAAACCTGCGTTGAGTAAGAAATTTTGCAGTTTCTCAGTTGGATCGGAAGGGATGGGGTTTCATCTATCTTCTGGATGCTTTTTGACGTGAGCATTGAGGAAAAAATCCGATTTTTTGCTGCTGAAGCAAATCTGACATTGACATACTGCAATCCTGAGCTCAAATTTCTGCTTTCAAACTTCTTTTAAAATGTTCTCAGAAGAATGAGCAAAGTAAAGGCATTGTTTCTATGAAGGGGAGCCCGTATACCATAGTTACAACTTTCTAGAGATCCTAGCATTGAGTATAATTACTGAAGTCACTCTGCAGAAACCGATTACGACAAGCACCAAAGCTACTTGTGGCTCCGACCAGAATTTTCAGAAGAATCATGTGCTAACATACACTACAAGCTGTATCCACTATCTAGTAAATAATTACTGCTAAAAATCTAAGTGAGGTAGCACTTGGAAAGCTATTTTGGATCGCGTAACACCATTATTACGTTGCACACCAACTCATGTTTCGAAAAAGAAGCAGGCAGCTTTGTGGACACTTGCGAGTATGGCGAACAGCTTTATTCTTGTGTAAAAAATGCTTCTACAATATCTTGAGGTTATAATGACAATGCATATGGTTTTAGGGCAGAAACTGAGGCTTACTCTGCCGATTAAGCCGATGTCAGATTTGTTTCAGCAGCAAAAAGTCGGATTTTTTCCTTAATGCTCACGTTAAAAAGCATGCAGAAGATAGATGAAACCCCGTCCCTTCCGATCCAGCCGAGAAACTGCAGAATTTCTTACTCAACGCAGGTTTGTGGAGCGAAATACATGTGAGTGCATCTTCAAGGCAAAAAAACAGATAATCAATTCTTTTTGGAGGTATGACCCAGCTTGACCAATGCAGCTGTTTAACGTTTTTGGATGTGTGCCTACCTAAAAAAATTCGGAAGCTAAGAAGTGCTTTAATCAGTAAAAACTCCAGGTGGACCAATAATTTTGGCCAGCCTTCAAGCCTGCTTTTTTCAAAATTTCTACTTTTTCTTGACTAATCAAACGAAAACGAGAACCGTTTTGAAGACTGATAGTAGGCTGGTAAACACACGTCTCTACCAAATCTTGGAAAATTTCATTCACAACGCAGTGACTTATGGCACTTTTTACAGTAAACCTATAACTTTGGCCGCACTGTATACTGGCGACGTAGCGGCATTCGGCGTGCGCTCCGGAGGGAGGGCGTGCAGGAGTTCCTAGCACCTTTCCTCGCACCAAGTTCGCACCAGCATTCGCACCCAGGAGGGTTTTAGCACCTCCGCGCTTTAAAGGTCAGGCCACGCCCATTGCTCCACCCATTTACTGGTCTCATTGTGAGGTGTGCATACAGCGAGAGCATAGAATCAGTATTGAGGTAACAAGAGAGGAAAAATGGACAAAAAACGAGTTCCATAGCTATTATTTATAAATTGAGGAGAATTGGAAACTCTGCTACGCCATCCTTTCAAAAATGAGCACTTGACCATTATTCTACAAAGAGATAAATTGCACAGGATTTTTTGTATAGGAAACTCGGTCATTCAAAAAATCGGAGATCTAGTTGATCAGTTGTAAATGCCTGGTCATCTTGAAGTGATTCAGCATCAGGAGTTGAATAACTGAGTGACGAAGTGGTGTAAAACCTATTACCTCCTCAACGTTAGAATTACCTATTTTGAATGGTATATAACCCCTCATATACATGAAGCATGTCTTGCAGTGCGTGTACACAATTCAGAATGAGGGCACCTAGAGGGAGGAGTGATGGGCGGAGCCGCCCTTTGGCCCCGAGAAGGTATGATGTCCTTCAAGGGATTATTGGAGGTGCCAAGTACCCCTGCGAGAAAAAGCGGCTAGGCTTTGGGAACTCCTGCCACGCCGCCGCTCCGGAGCGCACTTAAGGCACCCGCCATACTTGATCCTCTTGATCCGCTTAATCCACTTGATCCGCTTGATCCGCTTGATCCGCTTAATCCGCTTCGTGCAAAACGCGCACTCAGCAGTCTGTCACTTGGCGCCGCGTAGGTAAAAAGCAATTTCGTATGGTTAAGCAAATTCGCTGTACGTGACGCCAAATGACAGACTGCCGAGTGCGTGCGTTTTACATGAAGCGGATCAAGCGGATCAAGCGGATCAAGTATGGCGGGTGCCTAAGTCTCACCGACTTTCACAACAATCACGCAGGACCTTTCGCGCTACAAACAATCCACTCGAGCTTGATCCTCTTCATCCAGTTCTATATTGTCCATGATTGACCAATAGCGATGCGGATGTTCACCTGATCCTCTTAATCCATTCAATCAACTTCGTTATTGGTCACTACACTAACCAATAGCGAAGGATCAAGCGGATCGAGTATGATTCTTTGTATAGCGCATTTAAAAAGTCGTGACGGTGGCGCGACCGCACGCTACACGCACGCCACTTCCGGAAATGTTTTCCTTGGTTTTGATCTCCGATCAGATGGTTTTTCTGCTTGCATATGGTAGTACCTAGACACTTAAAGGGGAGACGGTCTTTTCGCACGGACGGTCTCCAGCGTCTCCCTGATTTTGACTTGTCTTAACATGTAATGCACGCCGCAAATCTTTCCTCCCCCTGTTTTGCTTAGGCAAAAGCCGCCGCAGGGTGTTTCGCGCGCGGCGGTGGTCCTGCATGGAAAGCTTACGGTCGTGCGAATCGCCCTACACCCCACTTAAAATGACTGAGCTGAGAGCAGATGATATCTTCTTCTGTGAGCGTTTTATGCTCCTATGGTCGCAAAGTCCACAGTCAAATCCGTCGTCACGATTTTATAAATGAACTACATACAGTCGAGTAGATTTAGCGGTAAATATAGTGTGCTTGCACAGAAGGTGAAATGCGGTAAAATTGGCGCGTGAAGAAATAGTTTCGACTGTGACGCCGGCTAATTGCGCGCGCAAGATGCCCGCGCTACTACGTGGCTACTTGTTCACGCGTAAATTTCACCGCATTTCACCTTCTGTGCAAGCACACTATATTTACCGCTAAATCTACTCGACCGTATGTTGTGTAACCCGAGTTCTCAAAAAAAGTTTGCTGTCTTTGTAAAGTTGAACTAGATGTTTGAATTTGTTGCAAGAATAGACAACATCAGCAGCATATGATTGCCTATCGTGGAACTTGAGTTCTGCTTTCATGCATCGATAGTGCAGTCGAGATCGATATCGATGTGTGCTATCACGAAATGTGCTTTGGCATTTCAGAGGCTGGAGAGGTTTGCCGTGTTCTGCCTTGCTGGAGCATGGCTCACAGTGTATCGTCGAACGAAACACTTGGAGATGGCGATACACCAAGAAAGTTGACCAAAGCCGAAAAGAAAGCATTATACAAGCCAGAGTATCCGGAACCGCATGCTACGAGGCGGAAGGTTTTGAAGGTTGCTTTTTATGCTTTCTAGGATATTTAGGCGAAGTCAACATAGTGCTGATTTTTTAGGATGTATTTCTGAATGAGAAGAACGAAGCTCTCAAGGACGAGCTTATCACCTCAATCTTATATGCTATTTATGAAACAGATAGAAATCCTTATGACAGTATGTTACAACTTCATAAAATCTGTCCTGATTATACCTCAGTGAAACCAAAATCGCTGGCCGGTAAGCTTTTTTTGATTGAATATATTTTTAAAGAAGTGATAGTAGTGCTGCTTACGATATGGTTCACTCAAAGAATCGAAATTTTTTCGAACTTCGGATGTCAGTTCATTCATCGTGTACTGAGGAAGTCCACGAATTTATTTGCTTTCTTCACTGTCGTTTTTCAGCGCTGACAGCTGCACATCTGCGATCTTGGATCTACAAGCTGGATGATCCGCTTGCTCTTTTCGAAAGTTGCGTCACCGAAGAACTACAGGTTGATTTTTAGAAGTCTATATTTTTGCACTTTTTGATATATTTTTCTAGAAAAACGCTTTTCGAATAGCTACAGCGAAGCATACAGGGAATTTGAAGCTGTTCAAGGAGATTTTCAGGCTTGACGACCCATCGCTTTCTACTTTTATCAAAGACGAAATTCAGGTGAGGTCTTCACTGAGTGTAGCCTTTTTGACCTTTGGAATTTAGCGACTTTTTTTAGTCCATGATTGATCGTCATATGTTCAAAGAAGCTATGGATGTAGCTGAAGAGTTTAGCCTGCAGGACTGTTACGATCTCAATGCATTCGTTATCCCATGTCTCCTGCAGGACAAGCTGGGCGTAGTGGTAAAATACATGGAATGTCAAAAGAAAATTCAGGTACCGTTTTTTTCACAAGCTTCACTTCTACTCCTTCTATTTCTACCAAAGTTTCTGACTTAAGAAAGATTTTCTCGCTTTCTTGGACAGTTTTGTTGGTGTTTCGGAAGAAGAAGTAGCCGATAGGTTGAGAAGCTACAAGGAGGCGAACATAATGACATTGCCGTTTGAACGTTTTGCAGGTTATTACCATGATTAGTTTTCAGTTCTGCATTTTCTAAAAGCATTTCTCTCTCAAGAAGTATCGTTTTAAGGCAAGACTATCGAAAAATTGATATTCAAGCTAGCTTCCGATTTGGCTTTGCCTCTCGAACGTCATGCCCCAAGATTCTTCCGCGCACGGAAGGAGGGAGAACTGCGATTCAAAGTCCAATCACGGTAGGGACAATACTATACTTGTTCAGTGCATGCTACATCTTCTTTCAGTTTTGTTGCGCAGGAGCTCAGTGACGATGCATACTTTGGTCATGTTAGCGTAGGTTTATGTTCACCGACAGTATCTGTGTATAGAGTTTTCTTCGCAACAAAACAACACTTTATTTTCAGGAGGCGCTCAGAAATGGCGATGAAAAACTCAAATTGTACTTCATAAAGCACCTGACGAATTTTGGTTACTAGTTCGTTCTCTCCCCTTGCTCATTCCTCCAATGCAAAAATGATGCTTTCAGCGAAGATGCTGCTCGATGGGTAGTTTACTGCAATATCTCGGAAAGTAACTTACCATATAATCTGCAAACATATCTCTTGAGCCACCCGGAAGCTTTGGATGAAGCGGAACGCAATATCAGGAGGTATGTTTTTCGCATATTATGCCTAATATAGAAGTATCAAACATTGCTTATTTTATATCTTGCATGCATTTGTCCTTTTTTTTTCTTTTGTCGTATGACAAGATTTGCTCTGTTCCTACATGTTCACGAATCTTGCATGTCTTCTACCACGTACTGTCACGATACAAGACTGAAAGTGGGGTTGATAATCATTCCATTCTCCTCTCTTTCGAGCTCCACTCATTGTTTCCTTTCCCTTCAGCCTTCTGACGCGTACTGATAAGGAAAGGAAGTGACAGCCAGGGAGGTGCATGTCCAGGAGCGTCTTCAAGCGCCTATATCAAAACCTTCACATCCGCGGAATGAACCTCGGAAAGAAGTTATGAGCGTTTGAATGTCCAAAGTTGTTAAGTATCTAGTTAACCTACATCTGACGAGCAGTTTGAAACTAATTGTTTGGCTCTCTTGTGAGTGTTGCACTTCATGCAGTCACTATGCTCAGCAATATTTTGATTCAATGCTCTCAGGTTGACTCTTGATGTACGTTATCAGTTGGACTTAAAGGCAGCGTCCAGGCAGATCTGGACCTATAGCGACTTTACTTGGAAAGTACTTTTGGGGCCCTAACTAGGGCACTGCCCAAGCGGCAGCGCACGTAGTGCTCTAACGGCTATTCCCCTCTGGGCCCCGCGATCGTATTCGCATGCTTCATGGCAGTTTCGCGTCAGGACCCACGCTTTGCGCCATGAATCTATGCGAAATATGAACGCGGGGTCCAGTTTCGAGCGGAATATCTCAGCCTTTAGAGCACTACCTGAGCTGCAGGAGCTGCCGGTTGAGCAGCGACTTAGTTAGGGCCCCGAAATTACTATCCACGTGAGATCCCCATGTGTCCAGACTTGGCTGGACGCTGCCTTTAAGAATAGTCTCAAACGCTACGAACTTCTGGAAAGTTGTTTCAAATGGATAGCAGATCTGCAGCTTTCGAAGACTCTCTTGTCGCTTCATTAATCAACGAGCTCATAATCTACGGGACCGATATTCACGAAGCCAGTGGGTTAGGGAACCCGGCGCAGTACTTGTGCATATCGATTTTGCCCAGCGAGTTCGCGAGCCCACTGGGTAGGATTTATAAGCGCAAGTACGGAACGCGGAACCCCTGGAACCCGGCCGGCCTCTTTAATGAATATGACCGATGACATATGCGATTTTTCCAATCTGCCAGTGCGATTTGGTATCCGTCATTTGTGGTTTTACTTGAGCGAAACTTGGTTTATCCTTTTTTTGTGACTGTGCACTGACAACTAAACCTCAGGATTAGTATGTGTAGATAGGTACAAGACTCAAAATTGCTCTTAACACTTTTGCTTCGCAAAAATGCTACCTATATATATGTACCACTAGACAGAATGGAGAAGCGAGCTGAGGACGTAGGAGAAGAAGAAGCTTTGGAGTTGATTCCTGGTTATCCCATAATATTGGTGGATGACAAGAAAAGCTTCTGTGAACTGGTATCCAGGTTGAAGGACCAAGATTTTATTGGCATTGACTCTGAATGGAAAGCGCAATATCTGTTCCCGAACGAAAGGTAATTTTCATCGCTGTTTGAAGACTTTTAATTTGAATATATGATAAATTGCAGTGTGGCACTTCTGCAGATTGCAATCATAGATGGCGTTTATTTGGTGGATTTCTGCGCCCTTGAGAAGAATTTGACAGAGGATGATTGGGATGCGCTACTGCGTTCACTTCTCTGTAGTCAATCGAGGAAACTGGGTAAGCTCAACTTCGAAGGTAAAGTCAGAGGTCCTTCGTCCTGGCCAAACCTTGGCAACCTGTATGTTGTGCTATGGCATACCGCAAGCTTTTTTTCGTAATAACCCAATTTCACGAGTACGAGACGCACCTTTCCCATTCTCTCAATCAAGCTCGGTCGCACCACTGTGCAATCTCGAAGTGGTCACTCTCCCACACAATTCTTTTAATGAGCAGCACGGTAGAGGGTCCTTTAGTTGCGCTTTTTAGTGTGCTAAGGCTGTTCTAATTCAGAAAACAAAGCAGGTGCGCCTTGTACTCGTTAAATTAGAGTAGTATTGATCTTGGCATTTGCGTCCTTTTCAATCTCGACCACATCTGTACCATCCCTTTTAGGCTTTGATCTTGGTAACGATTTACGGGCTCTGTTCGCTGGTGCTCCTACTGGAAATGTGCAATCCATAGCAGATAACCTCTGTAATGTTGTGTGCTTGAAACGTCTTGTTGAGAATGTAGGTATTTCTATTCATTTGTTGAGATACCGCAATGGTGAAGTGCAGGGTCGGGAGACCAGGATGATTGTGTGCAAGAATTCACATTGTTGAGTAGAAGGTATCTACTGTTCTTTTTCAGATGCTGGAAATCGATCGTCACTTTTTGGAAATATTGGGTATGTTTTTGCATATTTTCTTCAAACTATTCTCAGTCAAAATCATGGAATGCTGTTTAGTTTGTACGCTTTCAACTAATGCTTGTCTCCCTAAAACTCATCGCAGATACCTCTACGCATGACAACGACAATGATGGCGAAGATAGCGAGCCGTCTTTGCATTTCAAGCTGAGTGATCTGAGCGAACGCTTACTTGGTGTCAGACTTGACAAATCTGAGCAGGTACGAGGAAATTGACTAATGTTCAAATTGTATTCTGAGTTTCGTTGATTTTTTTTGAATTTTGCGAAATCTGTTCAGCTGTGTGAATGGTATCATCACATTTTCAGTGCAGCAATTGGTCCATTCGTCCATTGAGGTTAAAGCAGAAACGTTATGCTGCCATGGATGCTTACATTGTGGTTGAATTGTATGCAAAAATTCGCGAGATGGCCGAGTGAGTATACTATTCGTTATCGTCACCTGACCTGGCAAAAATGGAGCTATCAGTGTTCAGAGAGCGGGAAATGAACTTTGAGAATTTGGTGGAGCTCTCTATGGTGAATGGAAGGAAAAGAGAGAAGAGTAAGGCGAAACGAGAGCGAGTGAAGCTTGAAGACATGACATGGTCGGAAATCGTTGAAGTAAGAACTGTCACTTTTTTGCTGCTATGCTGCTTGGTTTTCATCTATCGTATTCCTTTCAGAAGCTGAGTGATGTGCAGTCAGGGACTAAGCCATCAACACAATTGATGTGTATCGTTGATTCCATGCTTCTTGGACTTGGCAAACATCTGCGGTATGTTTTAATCTGCGTGCTTGCCACTGATTTTTTTTTTACTGTGCGCACAGATTTCAACCACTCAGTTGTAGCGGTAATTTTTATTAAGACTGACTCTTGCAGCCGTTGTGGAGTCAATGTGATGATACCCACAGATAGAAGCGAACTTAAGATGAATGCTATGTCGAACAAAAGATTCATAGTGACAAGTGGGAAAGCATATGATGAAGTGAGCAACTTACAAAAATTTCTTGAAAGAAAAGAGCCATTTCTTACTTTGAGTTGAGGAGAATCTTCGCTGATCGCGTGATGTGTATCACCAATGCGGGCGCTCTGGGACCCATTGAACAACTCAAATGTGTGTTCACGAAACACAAAGCAACATTTGATGGCTTGGATATCTTCTCACGATGCGTGGTTCGTTTCTATTTCGTTGCTGTAGAAGTTGAACCCTTGAGTTTATCGAGTACTAGATGGCTTACCCGGCTCCGGCCCTGTCAAAACACTATGACAAAGGTCCTACCCCTATCCATGTACGGCCCTTCCCTGTGCCCACTTCTAAATGCCAATTTCTTATTCCTCTGAGTTATTAATCAGCATGATTTATCCCCTTGTGCCAATTCCTAGCCCGTAGCCCGAACTTAGCAAAAAAATCGATAAAATCGATAAAAGTAGCGGATAATTCTAAAAATATTCTATTCGTAGTCAGCATGCTCGATCACCCCCATCGTGCCAACTCCCAGCCCCGTAGCTTGAGCTTAGTAAAGAAATCGATAAAATCGATAAAAGTAGCGGATGATTTTGAAAACTACCAAGTTTGGTCTAGATCGGTTCAGAAATGGAATTTTATATGCGGAATACGTACATACATACATACAGACATACAGACAAACAGGCATTCAGCTTTGTTTATAAGATCAACCTTTCCACCATTTTAGGAGTGCAATGGAACATCATTCGTGAAAGTTCCGGGTATTGTCATTGAAGCCTTGTTTGACAACCATGTAACGTGCAAGAACGTCTTCCATGATGAGTCTTTTGATGCCAACGGTTTGTATAAATTCATTCTCTTGCGCCTTTCAAAGCTTGTATTCAGCATGGACTGAGCGATTACGCGTTTTTGATAACGGTTACTTTGGTGAAATAGGGTGCAGACTTCTACCGCCAGAGGAGGGGCATCTGGTCGTTGCATGTCACGGTGGAATCATCAATATAACGTAGTCTTCTTTTTTATCCGATGCTTGTTCCTTTCCTCAATTTCGGGAATTCAGAACTAACGTTGTGCAGCACGATGCTCTTGAGGAGGGAGTTGACATAATCGTAAGAAAGGTTAGTTTAAAGTCTGCTTTTTTCAACCATATAATTAGAGGCCCAGCACTAGTTTGTAAAAGGCCGACTGGAATTTCTCGAAGTTTGCTGCCAAACTACAAACTCTCTTAGTGCCTGGTTTAAAAATAGTATTTCCGCAAAAAAATCATAGGCAATTCAAGTTGCTCACGCAAACGTTCTCTACATTAGGCACTGGTGCATTTCGTAGTTTTTCATGTGTGAAAAGTGAGAAAACGAAATTTGGCATACTTTTGCCATAGCAATCCTAAGCTTCTCCCAGATAGGTGACTCTGTAGTGTGAACCGAAGTAGAGCCAAAAATTTTAACTCGCTACGAGGGTTAGTTTTCGAGAAATATCGAGTTTATAGCAAAAAGAAACCGAAAAATGCGACATATTTGCATTTATCGATCCATCGTTACTCATATTCTAGCTTTGCAAAAATTCCACAAACTGCACATGTGAATGTCTGAAGTGACTCATGCCTTGCAGATGGTGATCCCCCAAGAGTTTTATGGACGGAGATTTGTTTTTTGGGGTATTTCAAATCTTTCATTTTTTTGGCGTCAAACTTTGGGTAATATAAAGTCGCGGAATTTATAGTCCATCTGGACTTGCTTTGCTCTATCGAACGCTATCTTGATTTTGTTAATGTGTATCCTACTGCGGTGTGATGTAATGCGACATTATCTCCCCCCCCCCCCCTCCCCTTTCCTATCCTTCGATTCGCCTTTGCTGACCTCCTTCTTAAATTTGGAAAAGACGTAACTCGAAATTTTTGCCTTGCGCCGCCGAAATAAGAGCGACTGCCTTTGTTTCGGCGTTTTTCGGTGTTTCTATCTTTTGTTTGTGTGATAAAAAAGGCAAATATCAAATACAAAATGAAGAATCAGGTGACAATCCATCGGTATCATATTTTGTGTATAATAAGATTCATTGGCAAGTAAATGGCTTTGAAATATGGCAATATCTTGAGTGCCGCTTAGGGTTCGATTTCAGCAAATTGATAGCTCTACTGAGATTGTCTAGATTGTTCACTATGTGTAAACATGTAATTTCATGTTACAACATTCCCGCAATTTTTTGATTTTTCCAGGTTCCTGAGCAAATCTCTTCGCGCCCTGGTTACATCTTCTATATCTGTGGATCTTGCGGCAAGGTCTACTGGGAGGATCGATGAACTAGTCAAATCACTTTTTACGGCTCTCACAGCTCCTTTTGTTACGCTTCAATATTTGTTATCTTCCGGGAAAACGGGTATCTTTTAGTAGATGGTGCTTCTCTCCTTGGATAGCAATTGTTTTTCGCATCTTGTTATGGTTCACATTGCTTGGCCTGACCAATGATAGTTTGATTACTGTCGTGCTTTATAAGCCACTTATTCGTAAAATTGTTGGTTTGTATTTACTCTAGCTGTCACTAAACAAAAATGTCAAATTAGCACATCTTATATATAAAGCTGAATGTCTGTTTGTATGTATGTCTGTCTGTATGTCTGTATGTCTGTCTGTATGTCTGTCTGTCTGTCTGTCTGTCTGTCTGTACGTATGTTCTGAATAGAAAATTCCATTTCTGAACCGATCCGGACCAAACTTGGCACACATACACTACGGGCCCCGGCGGGTGTCATAGGCCACTTTTCGTCATCGATCGATATCGATTTTATCGATTTTTATCGATTTTTTTGCTGAGTTCACCTACGGGGCTGGAAGTTGGCACAGGGGGGTCGTAATCTGCATGCTCGATTACCCCCCTGTGCAAACTCCCAGCCCCGCAGGTCAAACTTTACAAAAAAAATCGATAAAATCGATAAAAGTAATGGACGATCCTGAAAACTAATATTGTGTTCGTAATCAGCATGCTCGATTACCCCCCTGTGCAAAATCCCAGCCTCGCATGCCAATACAAAAAATCGATAAAATCGATAAAAGTAATCGATAATCCCGAAAACCAATATTGTATTCGGAACCCCCATGCTCACTTCCCCCCCCCCTGTGCCAACTCCTAGCCCTGTAGGTGAACTCTGCAAAAAAATCGATAAAAATCGGTAAAATCGACATCGATCGATAACGAAAAGTGGACTGTGACACCCACCGGGGCCCGAAGTGTATGTGTGCCAAGTTTGGTCCGGATACGGCGGAGCCGGGTAAGCCAGCTAGTTTTCTATATGTCACAAAAAGAAGATATGGCTGCGGCTATTGACTGCCTGACCAGCAGCGAAGTTGAGCTGACGTTTATAATTAGCATGGATACGCTTTTTTTGATCCAAGGCTTTCACCATGTTATAGTCGTCCTCCCCCCACTAGACACCTAGTGGAGGAATTTGAATTCGAATCAGAGCACACCGGTTGCGGCGGAGCGCGTCACCTACAGCCCTTACTTCAATCATAAACTGATTATTTTGTGTTTCCGACGATTCATTGTAATTTTTGAATTTTAACTGTTTTTTTTTCAATCAGAATGGAACTTCGTTGCTTGTAAGCGAAATTTCATGTTATGCTCGTTTCAATTCTGACTCCAGGTTGAATTTGAAGAAACGACTAAGTTTGGAAAGTATGCTAGTGAAATCCTTTTCGGTAAGTGTCCTGAAGCTGCTCCATAGGACTTTCTTGTCCAAAAACTCCAACCTTACCTGAAAATGGGGCTCAAGAAATGAGCATAGAAGTATGAAACATCTGATCAACAACAAACTCGTCGATTGTGATTTGAAAGGGTGAATAAAACCAAAAAGAATCACCATGCAACGACGAAAAAACACAAAATAATACTCCATGAGCTTGAAATGAATGTATCTGTGCCGCGCTCTGCCGCGATCGGCATGCGCTAGTTCAAATTCAAACTCGTCCACTAGGTGTCTAGTGGGGGGAAGACGACTATACTCACGAAACCGGTTCAGAGCAATTTCTTTCTTCAAGACCGTGCAGAGGATTTTGCAACTTTCATATCAGAAAAACCAAGCTCGTTTGGAAATCTCTAAATAAGGTCTCAGACAGCGGATAGGACCCCTCCGCCGGAGAAATGGCAGGGCCGCGGGGTTTCCCCAACGGTGGGTCTGCCACTCGTCCGCCGGAGCTCTCCCATTTCTGCTCCGGAGACCTCCCATTTCTGCTCCGGAGACCTCCCATTTTCTGCTCCGGAGACCTCCCATTTTCTGCTCCGGATACCTCCCATTTGCTCCAGACCCCTCCGATTTTCTGCGGCGCGGCTCTTCCAGATCTGGCGGACTCGCGCCGGGTAAATTTCTCCGGCGCGGCTCTGCCAAATCTGGCGTACCTCCGGAGCAGAAATGGCGTACCTTTGCAGCAGGGCCGGAGAAGCGTCCTTGCCTGCCAGTGATGTCACCGCGACCTACAAGAAGGGACCGCCCATTTGCCCCGCTCTCATTGGTCAACTGGGTCCGGCGCGACTCTGGCAGATTCCGACTGTCCGGCGGAGGGGTCCGGTCGATTGTCTGAGGTGCATGAGGTGCGAATTCGATATTTTGCGAGTAGCAACTGTACTACTGCATGACGAAGGGTGCAGAAGCAGTATTAGTTGAGCGGGCAGGAACGCGGTGCGCGTGTCTTCACCGTTGTAAGTCCTGCACCACATGCGCTCTGCGGCTAATGAAGCCGCGTTCACGCCCAAAGATATTGCGCCTTCGTCATGCAGCAGCTTACGACTTATTTTATCTATTCTCGCAAAGTTTTGAAAATGATTTCATAAAGTTTTTTGGCGTCGAAGGAGTCACTTGTGAAACAGAATTGTCTTTCTCGAAGAAGAGTGAGGCCTAGAACTTGTTGAATACCTATTTTTCCTTCCGCTTGTAGATTGCGAGAGGAAAAACTGCTGAGGGCAAGAACTCGGACGGAACGAAAAATGATAGAAAGCGGCTGTCGCTGTAATTTCCGAGGAAAAGCAATTGGTACTCTGAAACTAAAAAAATCACAACTTGTCTTTCTTGGGAAGTACGTAGCACAGTGGCGAAACTGACTTTCAGAGGGAACCACGGAGGGCATTGAAGCTGTATATATCCATTCAACGACAAATTGAAGTTAGATATACCAGATTAAAGTTTTTTTCAAGTCGTTCTTGTAATTAGTTTTGTTCTACAACGCTGATAGCAAGAATTTGAATCACTGCAGCCTAACTCAAGGTGAAGATAAATAGAGCAAGAACGCGGAATGTAGACAGTGAGCGCAGTTGTAAAGTTCCTTTGCATACGCGCACTATCCAGTTCTTTCATTTTATCGATTCCAGAATGTTTAAGTGCTCGTATTTTCCCATTTGCTCACTGTTTAACATAGTTAAAGAGTGGTAATGATTATTTTACTAGAAAATAAAATAGATTCGAGGAGAATGCAGTACAAGCGCAAGCGGATTGATGTAGTGATACGTGTAACCTTAACAGAAAGTTTATTTATAGTTAGGTACTTGTGATCACTACGAAAATGTGTTCGTAAATTATCAGGTTGATGCATAATTCTTGCACCAAAATTTTTGAAATTCTGTTACTTCACCCAGGTTCGTAAAATAGACTGATTTGATGCACAGTAGAGAGAGCAAATCTTGCGCTTTCTGATGGCACTTAAGCCAAAATTCCTTTGAGGACATACCGTAACGACATAATGTGAATAAAAGAAGAACCCAAAAAGCGGTTTTTTGATTTTTGCTCATTAAAATTGCCAAAACGTCTACTAGAAATTGAATTTGTTTTTGCTTCAAGTTTTATGGCATGCCCTTTCTAACTAAGAGAAGTTGGTAGTGATTGGATGTTTCTGCGAATAGTTACGAATTTCTGTTTTTTAAAAATGACTTATTGTTTTGTTACATACTGGTTTTCTAAAATATACTATGAAATATTACTTTCGATATACATAACAGAGACATATTCCGTAAGTTGATTAGCTTGTTTAAGCATTTTTAAAATAATTTTTTTCTATTTTTTGGTGCAAGACTTGTGCATCAACCTAATACATGCGCTTATGGCTTATGGTGTAGCAGAAATTTTATATAGGAAGATGACACGCGTCTCACTCGCTATTTGTAGGCCTTTCTTCTTCTTTTTTTTCAAATTATTGTGTGGTGTTTTTGGAGCAAGTTGCCTACATTTTCGCTGATTTTTTTTAAACTTATTTGTTATCACAAAGCTAGCCCTAACTAAAACAAAGTACTGAGAACGTAGCCAACAACAAATAGAACAAACAGAAAAAACATCCAAGTCAGTTAGAGTCCGGCCACCAAATGTTTTGAAGAAAAAAAGGAATCAAGCTATAAATAGTAGCTATAAACTAGTTATGAAATCATCAACTTGAAATAATGGATTCAGGTTTAAAACTGCCTCGTATTTGCCAAAGTTTCTGCCAAGTAAGATTAAATTCACATAGAAGAAGATCTCCTTTGATTTTGGGACTCGAAAGTGGCAGTGTAAAATCTTCTCCCAAATCGGGTCTGTTTCAAGCGTACCTGAAACCCGCAACAAAAATGTCAAATTAGCACATTTTCTATATGTCACCAAAAGAAGATATGGCTGCGGCTATTGACTGCCTGCATATTTCAGTTTTGGCGAACTTTCCAGCAGCGAAGTTGAGGGACCAGACTTTGATTGTTTTCTGCTGACATCTATAATTAGCATGGATACGCTTTTTTTTATTTCCAAGGCTTTCACCATGTTACTCACGAAAGTTCGGTTCAGAGCGATTACTCTTTCTTCACGACCGTGCAGAGGATTTTGCAGCTTTCATATCAAAAAACCAAGCTCGTTTGGAAATCTCTAAAAGAGGTGCATGAGGTGCGAATTCGATGATTTTGCGAATAACAAAGGCTACTGTATGACGAGCGCAGAAGCAATATCAGTTGAGCCGGTGCGAAGGCTGCGCGCGCGTATCTGCCTCATACCCTCTCTGGCTGATAAAGCCGCTTTGGGCCCAAAGATATTGCGCCTTCGTCATGCAGCAGCTTATATTTTACCAGTGCGTCACCTCTGCTTCGCAGAGGCTCGCACTGGCTCTACTATCTAGGCCCTACTCATTCTCGCATAATGATGGCATTGGAACTCACCGAGCAATGCCGATTATCACGAACAAACTGTAAACAACTACTCATTCCAAAAGCTTTTTATGTGAAATCGGTGATTTCGCATGGATGAGAATTTTTGCAGGAGAACAAACGCAAATTTTTACAGGTTTTTGATTTTCCCATGGTCTTGACAGTTGCAGTAAGGACAGCAGTCACCGTGAGCTAGATCTATGTGCAAAAATCTCGTCAAATGCTCTGGTAAAACCTTGGCAAATTGACCATTTATGCAACTAATACTTTTTGGCGCCGTTTTTCTAAAGTAATGGACTTTTGATCACCTTTTTGGGTCTAATTTCATGGTTTGCGCTTTTATTTGGTATAAACATCCACTACTTTGCAAAACGTGGAATTACGGACCCATTAATGCGGCCCAAATGCAAAATGGATCCGTTTGACGCGCAGTTTCTGAGTGATCCACTCAACGAATCTGCTCGTGCTTTTGCATGTTGGACTTTCATGCGAGGAGCATGCGCTGTGCAAAATTTGAGCCCAGGAGGTTGGCTGGAACACGCTCTACGAATTTCGTAACAGACACACTCACACACACACAAAGTCACGTAAACATCCTTAGCCCGTTATTATAAGTTATGATTTTATTTATTTTCGCAAAGATTAAATTATCTATTCTAAAAATGACTTCGGGAAATCTTCCTGCGCTGAAAGTCATTTACGTAATGAAACTGTCTTTGCAGGAAAATGTGTGGCCTAGGACTATTAAACATTTATTTTTTCATCAAGTTCCGATTGCGTGATTGCGGCGAGAAAGGTTGCTCAGGGCAAGAACTTGGAGCGAATCGAAAAATGACATAGCGGCTGTCGATGAAATCTTCCTAGAAAAAGCAACCGGTATTTTTCTTCCTGAAATTGTAACAGATCCGCAACTTGGTTCTCCTGAGAAGCATGTAGCACAATCATGGCGCAAACAAACTCTTAGGAAGATTACAAAGGGCATCGAAGCTGAATAAATATCCACTTATGGACAGATACATATATCAAAGCTAAATTACATCAAATATTTTTTAAAGTTCAATCAATTCGTTTTCGTAGATAGTTGCAGATTTCTGTTAACAAACACCGATACCAAATTTTTGAATCACTACAACGATCTAACTCAAGGTGAAGATAAATAGAGCAAGAACGCGGGATGTGGACAGTGGGCGCAGTTGTAAAGTTCCTTTGCATACGGACACTATCCACTTCTTTCAATTTATCGATCTGTCCGAATGTTGAAATTCTCCTAGTTATGCATTCTCATTTGTTACTTTGAAATAATTAAGGAGTTGTAATAAGCTTTTTTCTAGAGCCGGTAGATTCGAGGAGAATGCAGGGCAAGCGCAAGAGGATTGATGTAGTGATACAGGTAGCTTTAATAGAAACTATATTCATAATTAGATACTTGTCATCAGTACGAAAATGTGTATGTTAATTACCTCCGCGTACACGTATAGCAAAAATTTTATATAGGAAGATGGCACGAGTCTCACTCGCTATTTATGGATTACTTTTTTTTTCAAATTAATGTGTGGTGTTTTTAGAGAAAGTTGCCTAACATTTTCGTTGATTTATTTATTAATTTATTTATCATGCAAAGGCGAATCTTAACAGAACAAACTACAGAGAACGTATCCAGCAACAGATCCAGCAAAAAAAAATTCCAGCAAATCAGCTAAGTCCAGACACCAAATGTTTTGAAGAAGAATAAGGAATTATTGTATAAACTAGGTATGAAATCATCAATTTGAAATAATGGATTCAGAATCCGAACTTCCTCGTATTTGCTAAAGTTTCGAATGCCAAATAAGACTAATCTTTCTTAGAAGTGGTCCTCCTTTGATTTTGGGACTCAAACGCGATGTTGATTTTTCTAATCGGGTCTATTTCAAGCGTACCTGAAAAATATCTCAATTATTTTTCCGATTCATTGAACACGAATCTTACTGAAACCTGCATGCCTTTCTGAATGTTGGGAACTTTAATGATTTTTTCGATTCCCCAATACCACCCGATCTCAGAGATACAAATGATGTGTTTGAGTGGAAAATTTTCGTTCCATTGCAGAAAATCTCAGTGCTTCGTTATATACAAAAGTGTTTTTTTCTGCAGAAATGTTGAGAATTTTCGTGGTAAAGGGCGATTCGGTTCCATCTAACAGGTTGTCCGGAAATCGATGCAGGTTTTTGTAAATGCAATCTCAAATCAACATTTCAACCATTTAGCAACCTTCCTACAACTATATTCGCACAATGTGAAACAGTTACTTAAACATTTTCGCTATCAGACTTTTCTAGCAGCGATAAATAGAAAATTCTGCTTCATTTACTTTTCCGACGTGAGCTCTTTTGACAAGAAAGGTAATTTCGTGAAAACAAAGATGACATAAGATGCTGAACGGACATAGAGGCTACAAAACTTTTTTGAATGGAGCAATAGGAAAAGCGAAAGTATCGTTTTTCTTTGTGCACTAAAAGTAAGACCAGAGCTATCAATAACTACGAAGTGGGACCTCCCAAACTTTACTATTGACGAATGAATGAAAAATCCATATTTTTTGGTGTCACAGACTTTAGAAAAATTATAGAAAAATGGGCTGTTTTGTTTTCGAAGTTTTTGTTCCTAGATAGCAAAAAATTCCTAAATAGCTCTGCGCAGCTATTCATCTACGGCTTATGGTTACAAAGGCTAAGAGTTTTCCTCTAAACATTCTTCTTTAGAAGGATTTACATTCTTTTAGAGAGGACGCAGCTTTGAAAAAATTTGTAAGCGCTTTGCTTCACACTGAGTTGCCTTTTGTATTAGCTGCTGCAACAAATGGGCAAGCATTAGATAGACAACGATTACGAGCTTATCTTATTATTAGATTAGGTTGGTCCGAAAGCTGTCCCACCATTTTCAAAAAATCATAACTTCTTCCTAACACAATGTTTTTGCAAGAGTAAAACCATATTAGAAAGAGCAATTTATGTGCTTTCCAAAAATGAGTTGGCTGCTATTCATTAAGCTCTGAGTAGAGATAAAATCGGGGAAAGGAATTCATTTCAATTTCGGAATTTTTAAGCAAGCCCGTTAAAAAATCCAAAACAATGCCATAAAATCCAAAACAGCCAGTATCCTAGGTTTTTTGATCCCCTCTTTCCAACTGAGCAAAATTCGCGCTGATCGAGCTTTTTTGAAAGAACTTATGATTTTCAAGAAAAATGCCAAAAAATCAGTTTCTTAAGAAAATTGATTTTTTGGCATTTTTTTTCCAAAAAATCATAACTTTCCGAAGAACAGCTCGATCAACGCGAACTTTGCTCAGCCAGAAAGAGGGGATGAAATAGTCTAGGACAGTGGCTGTTTTGTTATGGTACTGTTTTGGATTTTTTAACGGGCTTGCTTAAAATTCCGAAATTGAGATGAATTCCTTTTCCAATTTTATCTCTGCATTTAAAGCTTAATGAATAGCAGCCAACTGATTTTTGGAAAGCACATAAATTGCTCTTTCTAATGTGGTTTTACACTTGCAAAAACATTGTGTTAGGAAGAAGTTATGATTTTTTATGGTGGGACAGAACTTTCGGACCAACCTAATACAATGATTTTTGTGCCACATCTTGAAATAAGATTTACGACTTGTCAACTGGAGAATTGCGAAAACCGCATTAATTTTCGGACATAATACATTGAAAATCCATTTCGGACACATCATCTTCGGACCACATTGATGGGAGGAACGGACAGATGCGCATCTGACTTCTGGAGCGATTTTGTCCTATAAATTTCATATTTTGCCGCGGAACTTGGACTATTGCTTGAGTAAAGGCTCTGCTATAGTACCACAAATATTAGGACGTTTCAAAAGTCCCTTTCTTCAATTGGGCCTATCATAAAAATACGTGAAATGAATGCAAGCAAGCTCTTCAAAACTACTCAGCGCAGCTTTCCTCCTCTTTTCAGCAGTAACGCCTCTGAACCACGATGGCATGACTATCATTCAACAAACAGACTCCAGCACAAAAACCTACTACTAAGTGGTAGTGGCGATCCCAAAATTTCTGTTTGGGGTAGGGCGACAAGAATTTGGGTCACGCACTCCGAAAAATTTTCTGAGATGTATTCCGTATTCCGGCCTTCGGGCCCGGGACTCACAATCAGAAATTCTAGAAAAAAAGGAGAAGGGCCAGCCACACCCCCCCCCCCCCCCTCCCCCTCCCGCGAAAACTTTTTTTACAAAGTTACACTGAATTTTTGAAAAAATTCTAAAAAATTATTTTAGTTATTTACGAGTATAAACGAGTCACTAACACATTTTTATGGATCATGTAAGCAACTTTCAAAAATTTCGCACCCCATTTTCGAAGAGTGCCCCGCCCCCTCCCCTCGCTTCGCCACTGATGGCTGGCTAATTCCTTATTTACACATTTAAGATGGAACTGAGGAATGCCAAATTCCGAAGGGATTTCCGTCCACAAATAGGTAATCCCAGAACATGCGGGACCCTGGGAGTATCTCGTACGACCCTCGGGTAACCTCTACCATTCTCGCGAGCCCCGCGGGTTCAAATCGGTCTTCACATCTGGTGCGAGTGGCGGGGGTCTCTGCGTGCCTGGCCGCCTGCGGCTCGGCGCTCTTTCGTCTGTCCGCACGTCGTCGCACTTCGACCGCCCTTCGATGAATGCAGCGGGGTAATAGCGCATTGCACCACACACAACATTCGTGTAACCATCGTCGTGTGCGTCTGAGTTCGTGCGCCATCCCTGATTGCCCCTATGGCCGACGCTGAACGCCTTATGCCCGGTCCTGAGGGCAAAACCCCTCGATTTTATGATGTGGATCGTGGAGTGAAGACGGAGAGCTATATTACGGCTGTTTCGAGAAATCCCGTTCCGCCAATTCAACCACCATCGAAGGGTGTCATCAGCTATAGCAAGGTAAATGCTGCTGTCATTCGAATTTTTCAGAAACTGTATCCTTCCTCTTTGTTTCTTACCACACAAAAAATTAAAAATCAAATCTGGCAAATTTTTTACACTTAAATGGATATAAATTCCTTTCACCAACTAAGGATAGGCAGTTGGTGAAGGCTTGGCTCACTTACGGTATTGAACAAATTCAAATACTCTACATTTCATTTTTTTTGCTCTTCTAATTTTGTTGCAAACTTCTAAGAAAAAATACTAGCAAAATCGAAAGAAAACCCGATTATTAAGGCTATAGTTTCCAAATAAAGAAAAGGGTAAAGTGTGTGACAGAATCTGAATTTATAGATGGCCTTAAGTTTAATTTGCTGTTTTCTTTTTATTAGCCGGCTTTTTATTACGAAATTCATATATTTTATCTTTTCCAACTAGATAGCTTCATATTAATTAATTTATTTCCTTTAGACTTAATTATCTATTTCATGCCTTTGTTGCTTTTATGGAATTTTTTCACTAAACCCTCCATTCTATTGAATCTGTGGGAGAAGATCTGTGATGTGAAGTGGCGCGAATCTGGCTGACCTCAATTATTCCATGGTTTGCTCTTAATTATGTATTTCAGTTTTCCTTTTTCTATAATTCTCGCAATTGTTTTTAAGAAGAACTACACACTGCTATAATGCAGATTCCAATATTGCAATATTCCAACAAATTTAGATCTTGACAAAAATCGGAAAGTTTTTAAAAAGCAATCAAGGGCTTCCTCGATAGTTTCTTCAGTTTCCGTTGAAAACGGTGAAATCTGGCAGGAAAAAAATTTTCAAGTTTTTTTTTGCATTTTTCGGTACTTATTACTATGATTCGGAGTTTTGCGATATTTACAGACAAGGAAATCATGCATTGCAGTAAATTCGAGAATTCCCAGACTTCTCTCCTTTTTTGCTGCGTATCTACGTTTTTTTGGTACTAGACTCAATTTCAGTGAAATATCAGTCGAACTAGTCTCACTTTACTCTGAAAGCGTGACTACTTTTTGTGTCTATACGTTCCGCTATACAAACTAGTTGCAGTAAATTTGTTTTTCTCGGATTTGAAGGTTACTTTATGTCCTTTAAAATAGCGTCAACGTAATCCGTCAGTTTTGTTTCCGCAGCGGGAAATGATTCAAAATTTGTTCCCCGTTCACAATATTTTGTTAATCTGCGGGGTGTGAAAAAAGTCGCCAGCTGCTTGCATAGCTCTAGCAGTTCATTCTTTGAAGTCTGGTTGAAATAATTTATCATTTGTAAATCTTCAAGGACTCTCAACCCAGTAGATTTCATTTTACTTTTCTTATCGACCTAGCGCGGACGCAGCTGCTAATTTCTTGCCCCAATGAGCTTCGATGACGAAAATTGGGAGGTCTCTAGCATTGAAGACATAGATGGCGCACGTAGAAGAATTAGGGAGAAGACGAGAAGCAGAGAAACGTTTTCGAAAAGTGCAGAGAAACCAGAAGATCGAAGTAGAGAAAGGGTGAAGAAAGAAAGAGGAAGAAGTGCAGAAGAAGAAAGCTCAGAAAGGGTATGTCTGATGAGCAAAGTTTAGCCAAAGCCTTCCTGTAAGCAGTAATTTTTTGCGAATTTTTACCCACGCAATTTTGCAAGTCCATTAGAGCATAGCTTGCCCATTCTTTTTTCTTCGCAACAGCTGGCTAACACCATTTCCTCGAAACCATTTGCACCACAAGAAAAAACAGCTGATTGTCAGTCATGCGTGCTTTTCTTTCTTTCCCCCAAGGACGTCAAGCGCAAGTAATTTGAACTGACGGCGTCCGAATGTTTTTGTTATGAGATGAAATTCCAAGGCCGCATAGGTTTGAATGCGATGATTGACGAATTCGAATCTTGCAAGATTTGCAAGAAGTGATGTAATCGGACAGGACTATCAACTCAAACCCCAAATTTTTTGAGCCCTTATTAATATAGTCTTCCCACAGCCTCAGAATTCATAAACTTCCTTCTCAATGGCATAAAAATCCTTCGCATGTTTCCTCCTTGTACCTCCTTTAAACTGTTAATTTGTCAAAAACTCAATGATTTCTTGGAACACAATGATAGATCATGTCTTTTAGCCAGTAGCCTTTTCAAAAACTTTACTGGGAAAAAATCGGAAATTTCTCATCTAGCATCGTATCTGCGTAATAGGCCTCTCCAAAAATTTTCCTCATTTATTGTCCTCGTTTTTTTTAAATCTAAAATTACAGTAATTATATTATTGTTCTTATCGTGAAACCCTTGAAATTCTTGGCTGCATCTTACTGTGTATGTGCTGACTAATTTTCACACTTTTGCCTATTGTTGGTCGCACGCCTTATCTATAAAAGATAAGGAAGTACTTTTTATCCGAAAAAAAAAACATATGTGGTCATTTATCATCTCATGCACACCGATCAATCAGACCAAACCGAATCTTCGTCACATTATGTAAATTTGTTGGAACACGGTATGAGCAGAATGGCTAGTAATGCGAGAAATGAGGTAAAGACAAACACTTTTACTCAAAAATAATGAGATGACTTTTTTGAAAAAGTTGCTGGATTTTACAATCGTTTGAGCTTTGAATAACCCTATATTAGTCGATATTTCATCAGTGAAACGATTAGCATTACTTGAGAGCTCTAAAGCCTTTAGAAATCAGATTTTGGCTGCTGGCCAAATTGTACTTCTCTGTTGCATTATACAATATGGAATCTAATTTTTCCCCCATTCTGATTGCTTTTCATATGAATGCATGGGATTTCTGAATTGCAGAGATTGTGACTGATGAATCACAGTTTTTTTGATATGCGCGCCGTAAATCGAAACATAGTATTTAATGTCATGTACGTGCAAATATATGTACACCCCAAAAATGGAAATTGTTCACTCGATTGTAGCGAAATCTGAATTAGAGAAGGATGTTGCAATTTTAGCTTGACAAAAATTTATTATTATAGGATACTGATTTTCAAATTTAATCAACGGGCGTGGTGCGCAAGAATAAATTCATGGTTAAGTTGATTTATTGGAGGTGTTATTTATGAATTCAAAAGTACATCCTTCAAAAGATGTGCAGAAGTACATCCTTTCAAAGATATACCATTCTAAAATCAATTATAAATGGAATTTAATTTACAACGACCCTTATGGAGAAAAAATTAAGATCGACTCCCGTCCCACTTTCTTATCTGGCAGTAAGTTCTATGGAAACTCTGATGACTAAAATAGCCTGAAAATGCGCCAGCTCATTAGCGATTATCAGTAAGGATTATTAGTATTCACTTAAAAAAATCATACTGTTTTATTTTTTGTTTAGTTTTTACAGTTTTATCTCATTACTCACATGTTTTTACTCAATTTCCATAACTTTTTAGCCATGGAAAAAATCGATTTGCTAATCTAAACCCTCGTTTCTCATTTACTTGCATGCATGTCCTTCATTGGATTCGTGCCATGAATTGAATACAAGATTCGGGCTTGTCCTAGGACAATTATGGGGATGGGAAGCGTCGAATGTGATTAAACCACTTTGCCCACATAGCATCAATATTCTGTCTCATTTGGTGCGAAAGGGAAGTTGTTAGGCCTAAGAAATGGACAGCCTCTAGCAATTTATTATTGAGCAGCTGCTAGGGCCTTCTCAACTTCCCTCAATATGAACTTCGAAATTTACTGTTTCTTTCTTCCAGGTAAACGACGATGTCGCTGTCGAACCAGATGGAATCGCTCGTGAGCCCAAGCCTCAAGCATCCGGTCTTACAGAAGAAGAGCTTGAAGTTTACAGAGACGATCCAACTTGGAAGACGATTAGGTTTGTTCCTCTGGCGCCTGAACCCATTAGCCGCCTGAATGGCTTAGTCAGTTGTTTATCGCGTGTAATCTGGCGCACAAACAGATGTGAACGCAGCGATCGCAGTGCGATGTCCTTTCCGATGTTCTTCGCTATCCGTATTACAACGAGAGTGATAAATCAAAGTTTATCGGTTCTTGGGGCCGCGTGAAACTACGGGAAAGCGCAATAAAATTTTGAATTTTGGCGCCTTCGCAATGAAATTTGAATTTAGCGCCTTACTCTGATGCAGATAATGCGAGAAGCATCTAGAATATCATTCTGTAATGGTTCTGGAATATTGAGAGGATGTAAAATGTAGAAAAAACTCCCGAATCATCAATGACTACAAGGCTCTATGTAGCTCAACTACCTAAAAGGATAGAAAGTGTAATTTCATAATCTCAGAAATAAAGGATTGGATTCTCCTCATTCTTCCAGAGGAAGTTATTGACTTTCTTCTGCAATATCTTTTGCCTGCGAATCTAAGCGCTCATGGTATCTCTGTTTTACACCGTATAAATGTTCATTTGAATTACACGCGCAATATGGAATAAATGTAAACTGCCCACTTTTATGCTCGCTTTGCTCTTATCTGTTCTTTTTACAAGTATATTGATTTTACCTAATCTAATTTTATACTATGGGTATTATATATTCAGTACGAATTCGTTTAAAGGCCCCACGATATTGACGCCGACTAAGCGTTTGTGCAAATAAATTTTGCTTTGTGTCTGGTGGCTATGCTAGCAAAAGAATGTCATAAAACGGTTTGTTCAGAATTCGTGCGTTGGAATTATTTTAAGGGCAAGAAGGGGGAGGGGGAGGGGGAGATCTATTGCCACGTCTAGGACAAAGGAGAAGACAATCTCATCAGATAAGAATCACTGGTAAATGAGCACATAAACCTTTAGAAGGAAAAACACAAATCAGATGTTGAAAAGGCATAAATCGAGATGATCAGGTCAAACATCTGGAATCACATCATAATTCATCTAGAGCACTGTAGCATTTACTGAGCAAAATTCATCTTCACTCTTTTGACCAGGCGTGATCCTAAGGCTTTGTCCATACTTTGCCCATGTTGCCGATGTTTCCAGTGTTGCCAGTGTTGAAAGTGTTGAAAGTGTTACCGGTGTTGAAAGTGTTGAACGGAGATCATCAGTGTAGCAGTTTCATTCTTTCTCGAACGATCTCACCGGCTGGTGAATACGTTGGAAATGGAATTGGGGAATGAGAAATGAAATTGAAATGAGATGGGGAAGATTTTCGCATGCAAAAGATCCTCAAACAAACTTTTTGGAAAGTGGACGGCTTGTCTGGAATAGGCAATCTCCAATATTTGAGAAAGCTGACGTCTGAGGAGTAATGTGTTTTAGTTCGAATCCTGCCGCGCTTGCGTTTAGTGAGTAAAGGACCTAAGTGAGGTCTGCAGCGTTTTCAAATATTGGAGAATGCTATTCCAGGCAAGCCGTCCACTTTTCAAAAAGTTTGTTTGAGGATCTTTTGCATTTTTGCAAATGCATCCAATTTTTGCATGCGAAAACATTTCCCATCTCATTTCAGTTTCATTTCTCATTCCCCAATTCCATTTCTAACGTGCCGGTTCACCAGCCGGTGAGATCGTTCGAGAAAGAATGAAACTGCTAGACTGATGATCTCCGTTCAACACTTTCAACACCGGTAACACTATCAACACTTTCAACACCGGTAACACTTTCAACACTGGCAACGCTGGAAACATCGGCAACACGGGCAAAGTATGGCCAAAGTCTAAGAAAATCGAGATTAAAATCGATCACAAAAATTTGAATATGATAAGCAGATCTTCCCAAGAAAATCGGAACTCTTTGAGTATGCGAAACTCATGCTGTGTTGGATTTTCAACTTTATCCTTTGATCCTCAGTTCATCTCTAGAAATTCTTCTTACAACTGCATAAAATCTCCCATCAATCAAAAATGAAAGTTTGGTCATGGACTGGAGCTGAGACTACCTGGGCTATCTTTTTTTAATGAAATCCTCAATTTTATTTCAAGCTTCAAAGTAAAGATTTTATTTCGGTTGCTTCAAATCATTAAATGCATCACGCTTTGGTACCATAGCTCGGGTGGTTCCCTAAACATATGTAGCTCATAGCTTATATTCATGACTTTCTAATAAACTCCAAGAAATTTGGAATGAGAATCTGATCTAACTGTTGATTTGACAATATACAATACCGCTCACATTTTTTGAAAAAAAGACGCGAATGTATGGACATGTATGGACATGTACGGACATGTCCGTACATGTCCGTACATGTCCATACATGTATGGACATGTCCATACATCAGCGTCGCGTGGCCATATCTCGCTTCAGAGTGGACGAATTCTGAATCCAAGGCCACCGTTCGATTCAGCTCGGCGCGGAGAATCTTCTGATGTATTGGAAGTGGGGGTACGATGTTTTCGATATTCCGTTTCCAGTTTTTTCAGTTTGTTCTGCGGAGATCCTTTCGCGAATATGTGAAGCAACGCCTACCCAACATAGAAGACTTTACAGAGTACTATTCGATAATACTGCTCTTGTAAATTATTGTGCGCTAGAAAATAGGCTCAGACTTCTTTCCAAAGAAGGTGAAAGCGTTGGTGAATTTTGGAAAAATCACGCGTTTCTAAATTCTACTCGCCATAACTTCCTTCGGAATAAGTATATTTTGAATCCGAAAACTGCGCCTTGCTCAGCTCATCAAGTCGAATCTTCCTATGTACAGCATGATCTTGGTATTTCGATTTCATTATTCTTGAATCTTTCTGAGGACGTCTTTTCGCGAAGATGTAATGCAGCGAACATTGTCCCGAGTACATTTCAGCAAGGATCTTTCGATAGCACTTTTTCTGTAGATTATGATGTGCTAAATAGTAGTCGCAGGTTTCTTTTCAAAGGAAATAGAAGGGCTGGTGAATAGTGGAAAAATCTTGTCGTCCCAAATTCTACTCGCCATATCAGCAGGATACGAAGCTATCTTGCTAAGCAGATGTGAGTTTCGAAATCAACAGGTCGCATAACCTCTACGAGCAAGTTTTCCGATATGTTCGGGTCATTTCATTTTTCTCGCTTTACGCTCCGGAAGCGCGCCGATGGATTTTGGTCAAAATGTTGATGCTCTTGAATTGTAAGGAAACTTCGCTTATAGAGGCTTTCGAACACGCTCTTTACGAAAATCGTGGTCTTTGAGGATTACAGGGTCTTTTTGGAGAGATACGGTGAGGTGACTGTAACTTCATCACGAAAGTACGTAACTTTGGCCGCACTTCTCGCGTATCTGTCAGAAACCTTGCCTGCTTGCTTTTCTCAGTCAAAGTTACCAGGAAGTGTGCTATCGAATGGTGTATTACTCAGGCTCCAGTCTGTGAAATTCGCCGAGTTACGAGCCTACAAATACACGTCCTCATGAATTTTGCCCAAATTGTAAAGATCGCATATCTCATCGAAATTCCTCCGTGAGCGCTTGTATTAGATCATTCGGAAAAATTTTTCGTTTTTGCACCTCCAAATTCAAACGAGCACAATTTTTCCCGGATTCAGCCTTTTTCCATCAAATAAACTGCATTGTGTTCAGCAAATTTCTGATTACACTCTTGAAGTGCTCTTGTGCTTTTCTCTTGCGCAATGATCTCAGAGGAATCACTAAAGCCTGAAAAGGCGTTTTTGATTAATCAATCTCTATTAGGTCCTATTATTTTTTAATAGGCACCGAGGAATTGGAAAATTCGGTGACTGGTAAAGGAAGGTCTAAAGAGTTTGAAAAATAGACAGGAACCTCGGTGCGCAGTCAACCCCTTTTGTGAGAGCCACTTTTCTTACATGTGGTTTGGCGGAGTCATGAGCGTGGATGGCAACTCTCATAGCTTATACGTGCAACTCTGCTCAGTTTTGAAATTTTGACAAACAGTCTTCAGAGCGACATCACACTACTCTGCTCTTACAGTACAATAGCATTTTAGCAAGTTTATAGCGTACAAGAGCAGCAGGATTACATTAATTTGAGTGCATCAACCTTTTGGAATGACAGATTGTTCTGGTCATGCTTTCAAGCTTATTCCAAATGATTTACCACATTGTCGCTTCTCGTTGCCGCACTTAGTCAATTTTTTGCTGTAATTAATAACTCAGGCTGGAAAAGGATTGCTACATAAAATTATGAGCGACGAAAGCAGAGTCAACGCGCCCTCAAACTGCGATTGCGACAATTTGTGGGTACATGTCGCTGAAATTTTTCGGTATTGCAGCTTTGGCGAAGGTGGCTCCTAATAAGGTTATATGACACTTCAGGGCCTGCTGATAATTTTACGCAGCTATAATTGCGATTTAAAGGACCCTATGAGATGCTCGTTTATATGGCAGAAACACCTTCCAGGACACTGCAAAATATTAGCTTTCACTTCTCTAGATCTGAACTTTTCTGAAGTAAACTTTCTGAAGTAAGAATTCTGAACTTTCTGAAGTAAACTTGAACTTACTTCAAAAAAGACGTGGTCTTGGCAAATGCATTGCGCACAATGATGGTTTCCTCAACGGTCTTACGCTCAGATTTAAGCTTAGAGAATACAATTATTCGATAATCGCGTTTTCGTATGTCGAATTTAGAGCCGCGTAAACTCCCCTGCAAAGCGTCTTCTGCAATTTCGGTGGGATCCCAGAAACTAGAAGACTTCCTCTACAGATCCATATATGGCAACCCTTAACAGCCTCCTGACACCCTCTCAAAATATGGTATCAACATCAAAGGCGCAAAAAGGGAAAAACTATCCGAATGACCTAATACAATGCGCTGATCAAATCCTTCCATATTTTTAATGGACTAGCGACCCTAAGGGCCGCTTGCACGTGGGTTGGGGCAACACTTTTTAGCCATATAGTTGTCACCACAATCACATTACGTTTTACACCTTTTCTATTAGTTCTGGACAACATAAAACTGATTAATCAGTGACTTCTGCTCTTTTGACAATCATTGCTGACTAATCGATATCTTTTGAGCCGGTTCCAAAAATCCTCTTTGGTCCAAATTTTTCTACCAATCTTCGCTGAGAGTCACCAAGCAGCGACTCTCAGAACGATGATGTAGTCTACAATAACTCAGATAAACACTGAAAAAAATACCTTAGTCTTCGAAAAATTTCGGCAGCGAAGACAAGCATTGTGTTCTCATGTCCTACTTATCTACAGACAACCTTTTGTGAATAAACACTGCTCCGCGTACGCCTACAGAGCGATGTACGTAAGAGCTGCTCTGCGATCCTCCAGAATGATATTTCATAGGGAAGAAACTTACATACGGGCACCTTACAAAGTGGTAACCTAAGAAAGTACTGTCCTTGAACCCCTACAAATGATATTATGCTCTGGAATGAATCTGCCGTATCCCCCCCCCCTCTACAAACCAGTATTGCAAGGAGGCCGTATGGACTGCCTACAGACGAAAAAACTGCCCTAGGGGCAGGCCGCGGACGGTAATTAGTCATCAGAGGGGAATGCTCTGCCGGCTTACAGACCCTTATTTTGAGGAGTAACGGTCCTGTGGGCTGCTTACGAACCGATATTTTTCAAAAATGTTTTCAAAGAGAACTGCCCGTGAAAAAGGGCCCTATGAGCCGCTTGCGGTTCTTCACTTCGAGAAAAGGTTGCCCTATGGGCCGCACACAGACGGATATTCTAAGAACAATTGCCCTTCAAATTCTCAAACCAATCTTCAAAAAATGCCCTGAGCCGCTTGGAAACTACTATGTCAAGAAGCAACCGCCCTATGTGTACCACAAGCTAATATTCTAAATGCAGGAAAAGCTATGAGCTGCTTCATATCTTTACTTCCTCACAAACCCGTATATTAAGAATAACAGCCCTACGTGCAGACCGGTAATCATAGGAACAAAATGCCCTATGGGCCACTAACAGAACGATGTGTTAAGGAGTTACTCACAAGTATTCTACAGACCGAAGTTTATAAAAAAGAATTATGGGAAGCTATAGGAAGCCCTATGGGAAGCTTGTAGACCGGTTTAGGAAGTATGCCCTAAAGGCCCCTACCTTGACCTCCAAACCCATACTTGAGACAGAACCGCGCTAATGCCGCCCTACAGACCGACTTTCTGAGAAAAGCTATCCTACAACACCCCCCCCCCCCTCACCCGCCCTCCTTCCCCCGCAGACCAATAATTATGAAAAAGCACTTCCTTATGGGGATCAGCCCGATATCCTAAAACATCCTTAATTACCAACACCTACAAACTGTACTACCCTACGAGGCGCTCACATATGATCTATTCTGTGGACATCCGAAAAGCGAATTTTGAGAAAAAATGAAGCTACCATACTTAGAAACCTACACAATGGTATTTTTTGAGGAAGAACTGTCCTTGGAATCCAAAGAAACCAATAATTTGTGATAAACTTGCTCTACGGGCCACCTACAAACCATTACTCTGAGAAAGACTGTCGTATGGGTTTAGACCGACATTTCAAGGAATAAACTGCCCTATGGGCCGCCTGCAAATCGATAATTACTGGATGGAGCCGCCATATAGGAGGAGGGGGTTGTAGACCGATATTTTGTGAAGAATTGCCCCATTCGCCTCCTGCAAACCAATATTTTGGGGAAGAACTACCCTATGGGCCGCTTGCAGACCAATACATCAAAAAGAACTGAGCTGCAAACCCTCAAACCGATATCTCGAAAAAGAAAACTGCTCTAAGAGCCGCTCAAAGGCCGATATTTGAGATAGAACCGCTCTGCGAGAGTCCCTCATAAACCAGAACCAGTCCTGTGAAAAAATAATTTTGAACCACTTACGATAACTAAGCTTCATACAAACCAACTGACCGACAATTCTAGGAGGTGCCCTGGCCGCTTATAGAACAGCATTTTGAGAAATAACCATTGACCTAAAAAGTGCCCTATAAGAAGCTAATGGAACACTGAATGGCTGTCCTACGAGCCCTCACCCTACAATCGTATTTAAGAAGGAAGCGCATGACGGGTCCACCTATAGAACTGGGGCTATGATACCTATTTAGTCACCTACAGAACTATAAATAAAAAAATGACGTGTCCCACTTGCGGACCTATACTTTGACAAAAGCACCCTCCAAATCCCCTCGAACCCGATAACTGTCGAAAAACTCCCCATGGGGAGCATACAGACTAATATTTTCAGTAGAAGTGCCTTACGAGCCCCTACAAATCAAGGATACGCATTGAAAGATCTGCCCAATGGACAACGAACAGACCGGAGCTGTGCAAATGATTGCAATATGAGCTCTAGAGACCTATAAGAATCGCCCTACGGGCCGCTCACCTTTTAACTGTCCTCATCAGCCCTCACCAGTTATGGGCAGCCATGAATTCAATTATGGGCAGCCAGGAACTTCAGCATGAAGATGAGAATGTGAACAGTCGAAGGGTAAACTTTGAGAAACTACTACAGCATGTTTACGCAAGACAACGAGTTCCCAAGTCATACCTCCAAGTACAAACTTGTGAAAGAGGGGGGGGGGGACTGTTAGCAACCTTACGAGAGTGTGGGCACCTCCGCAACTATAGCCTTTTTGCACTTAATAGCCGCACCTCTTTCGAAAACATTCCTCGAGAAGGGACGATGCTTACCCCTACGAAAACACGCTAGCCTTGTTGACAATCTGTACCCTCCGCACCCTCGGCAGTCACTCGCCTTAGTCGGCAACTTGTCAACATGTAAGTGCAAAACCTTGCCATTCTTTATTATAGAATGATCTTATTGTGTTAGATTTGGTGCTTTGAGCTCTAGCCACGAAATAGCTTTGATATTCAGTTGAGCAGCTGAAGCAGACGCAAGCACCATATTAAGTGCAGTGGGAGACGTTCAACGAAGCGAACATAATATCCGCAACGAGCGTCATACAAGCGCTCACGGAGGAATTTCGACGAAATATGCGATCTTTACATTTTGGGCAATTCATGAGGACGTGTATTTGTAGGCTCGTAACTCGGCGAATTTCACAGACTGGAGCCTGAGTAATACACCATTCGATAGCACACTTCCTGGTAACTTTGACTGAGAAAAGCAAGCAGGCAAGGTTTCTGACAGATACGCGAGAAGTGCGGCCAAAGTTACGTACTTTCGTGATGAAGTTACAGTCACCTCACCGTATCTCTCCAAAAAGACCCTGTAATCCTCAAAGACCACGATTTTCGTAAAGAGCGTGTTCGAAAGCCTCTATAAGCGAAGTTTCCTTACAATTCAAGAGCATCAACATTTTGACCAAAATCCATCGGCGCGCTTCCGGAGCGTAAAGCGAGAAAAATGAAATGACCCGAACATATCGGAAAACTTGCTCGTAGAGGTTATGCGACCTGTTGATTTCGAAACTCACATCTGCTTAGCAAGATAGCTTCGTATCCTGCTGATATGGCGAGTAGAATTTGGGACGACAAGATTTTTTCACTATTCACCAGCCCTTCTATTTCCTTTGAAAAGAAACCTGCGACTACTATTTAGCACATCATAATCTACAGAAAAAGTGCTATCGAAAGATCCTTGCTGAAATGTACTCGGGACAATGTTCGCTGCATTACACCTTCGCGAAAAGACGTCCTCAGAAAGATCATAACTTATAATAACGGGCTAAGGGTTGTTTACGTTTGTCTGTGTGTGTGTGTGTGTGAATCTCTGTCTGTCACGAAATTTGTAGAGCGTGTTCCAGCCAACGTCCTGAGCCCAAATTTTGCATAGCGCACGCTACTCGCCTGAAAGCTCATTATACAAAAGCATGAGCGGATCCGTTGAGTGTATCCATTGAAAATTGCGCGTCAAACGGGTCCACTTGGCTTCTGACCAGCAAATTTGGATCCGTAGTACTACTTTTTGCAGAGTTAAGGATATATTTGACAAGCTATTGTGCAAGCCATAGAAGTTAGCCTAAAAAAGTGATGAAAAGTTTACTACTTTACGAAAACAGCGCCAAAAAGCATTCGCTGTGTAAACTGTCAATTTTTCAAGATTTTACCTGATCGTTTGAGAAGATTTTTGCACAGAGATGTAGCCCACTATGTTTACTGTCCTTACGGCGACTACCAAGTCATAAAAATTCCAAAAACGTATTCAAATTTGCATCTGTTCTTCTGGGAAAGATTTTATCCACGCGAAAATACCGATCTCACATGGAAACCTTTACGAATGAGTAGTTGTTTGCGAGTTGTTCGTGATAGCCTACATAGCGCGGTGAGTTTCAATGTCATTATTATGCGGGAATGAGTAAGGCATACAGAATGTAGCGCCAATGCGAGCCTCTGCGAAGCAAAGGTGACGCACTGGTTCAAGAATAATGAAATCGAAATACCAAGATCATGCTGTACATAGGAAGATTCGACTTGATGAGCTGAGCAAGGCGCAGTTTTCGGATTCAAAATATACTTATTCCGAAGGAAGTTATGGCGAGTAGAATTTAGAAACGCGTGATTTTTCCAAAATTCACCAACGCTTTCACCTTCTTTGGAAAGAAGTCTGAGCCTATTTTCTAGCGCACAATAATTTACAAGAGCAGTATTATCGAATAGTACTCTGTAAAGTCTTCTATGTTGGGTAGGCGTTGCTTCACATATTCGCGAAAGGATCTCCGCAGAACAAACTGAAAAAACTGGAAACGGAATATCGAAAACATCGTACCCCCACTTCCAATACATCAGAAGATTCTCCGCGCCGAGCTGAATCGAACGGTGGCCTTGGATTCAGAATTCGTCCACTCTGAAGCGAGATATGGCCACGCGACGCTGATGTATGGACATGTCCATACATGTATGGACATGTACGGACATGTACGGACATGTCCGTACATGTCCATACATGTCCATACATTCGCGTCTTTTTTTCAAAAAATGTGAGCGGTATTGTAGTAATACTCTCTTTTTAGGATGGTGCTCTTCGTGCTTTTCTGGCTGGTGTGGATTGCTTTATTTGTGATTTCAATTCTGCTCGTCGTGCTCAGTCCCGGCTGCGTTGTGCGATCGAAACCGAACTGGTGGCAAACTGCTGTCGCTTATAATGTGAGTTGAGTGAACTGTATGTAAGATCTGACGAAGGAATTCGTTTTGGGTGATTTGGACCTTCGGATACTTCAAAATCTTTTAATTCTTTGAAGGAAAAATCACATACTTTTTCTTTTCTAGTTCTTACTACCTGCTTCGAAGTACTCATTTGTAGCAATGTCCTTTACAGGTATGGGTTCCATCGTTTCAAGACTCTGACGGAGATGGCTATGGCGACATGCAGGGACTCCTTGACCGCCTTGAAAACTTGAGAAAGAGCGGTGTTCAGGTAATTATTGAAACTTTTTCCTGAAATTTTATATTTATCTGTATCTTCAGACCGTCTGGCCATCACCATTTTTGATCAGTGATAATTTCTCGAATGCTGTGCGTAGCTACAGCCAAATGGATCCTGCACTTGGAGCAAATCAGGTTGCTGACAAAGCGATCAGTGAAATTCATGACAAAGGTTAGGAGGATAATTCTTTGCCAGCGTCCATAAATTCTATTCTTTCCTAGGCATGAAATTTGTTATCAACATGCCTATTTCCACAACTTCTACTGAACACGAATGGTTTATGAAATCATCAAGAGCATCTCTTCCTGAAAATAGGAATTATTCTGGAGTGAGACAGATACTGTTTTCGATATCTGTATTTTTTCAAAAGAAATTTTTTCAGTTCTATCATTGGGCTTCGAAAGGAGCAGATGACTATTTCACCAATTATAAAGGAGTGTACTATATGCACGAAAAGGGCAATAAAAATTCGGCAATTTTGAACTGGCAGAACTCGGATCTTCGCGCTCATATGTTTGTGAGTATTCTTAAATTAAAATAAGCATGCCAGTAAATTGTGGACATATGCATCTCAAAACGAGCAAAATATGATTACAACAAAAATTGTCGCAGATTTTTTTCCAAAGAGGAAAGAGCGGAGCGGTTTTCACTCCTTTTTTAGAAACGAATACTTGGGATTTTTATGGTGTGATTAATTAATTTTGAAAATCTACCTCAAATGACGGAATGGAGCTTCATGGCCAGATTCGATAGCGCCTTTTGTAAAGAGATGTTAAAAATCAGTTCAATGCTCCTCTTAGTTGACATTAAATTATTTTGGCAGAAGCAAATCTCATGCAACGGTTTTGAGCCACTTAGAAAGATTCTGAATATAAAAATTGATGAAAACTCATCGAAACAATTTTTTGCGTTAGAGAGAATACAAGAAATAATTGAACGTAAAAAAGAAATGAGGGAAAATGTACTCGGAAGTTATTTTTGAATTTACTTCAGGAAGTGCTCTCATCATGGATTGATCGCGGTGTAGACGGCTTTCATTTGACTGGTATTGAATATCTGGCAAGAACTCCTGATGGATCAGAACCGGTCTGTCCTTTCATTGCCTAACTTGATGGCCTGGGAACGACATTAACCAATAATGTAGGATTGGTCAGCAATCTCAGATGTTATCGGCGACATAAGAAATCATGTGGATTCTTATACAAATGAAAGCACAAAAGCGGGTGGCAAGAAAATGTGAGTAAACAATTTCCAACAACACAGAAATTTTTTTGCAATTCTCTTCACTTCCTAACTCAATATTGAACAACATTTTTGGAAATCTCCGCCTCCTAGCGCTAGTTCCGCCCACTTAACCTCGTAAAGTGCTGATATACATCCCCAATCAACTGTGGGCTTTACCATTCGCATGTACGGTGATACTACGACTTTAGTGCTCTTTTCGCATCTCGAGAAGAAGCTAAGGAGAAGGACAAGAAGCAGTTGGTGCAAAGTGGTCTCGATACGGTTATTAATTATGAATTGACCAGGGTGGAAAAGAATTCTGGTAAGTAATGTGACTTTCCTTTCAAAGAAAAATTTGTACGAAAATCCCCTCCGATTTTCAGAAATCTGCCATAGAACTGAAGGTACGATTGCAACTTGTGTACATGAAATACTATCAGATATATTGCTATTCCATTCTAATAATCCCGCCGTTTGGCCACAGTGGGAGGTAAGATCCTACACACAGTTCCGCGGGGATTTCCACATCTAAAATTGTATTTCAGTTTGGTAACCAGTACATTTCTCGTATCGCATCGCGTGTGGAAAGTCGAGCACATGCTGAGCTTCTGCTAATGCTACAGCTGATTCTACCTGGCACGAATAACTTCTACTATGGTGATGAACTTGGAATGAAGAATCTCCCGAATGACTCAAGAGTAAGTTCATGCGAAAATTTGGATAAGCTATCAGGTGCAGCAAGCTGCAGGAAGTTTGTCGTAGTTGATAGAATGAGAAAATATGTTCGTGGCAGACTCTCGATAACAACGAAGCGTGCAAATAAGTTTTTTTTGAATATCTTCCTTATTGAAGCAAATAAGGTGTTTAGATGATGCTCAAATATGATCAAACTTCAGGGGAATCAAAAAATAATAGAAAACTAGCGCATATTTTACAAATGCTTAAGATAGTGTAACATCGAAGTAGAAGACGGAAGGCTTCTAATTTTTTAACATGTCATTTTTTGACAGTAGCTTGAATCTTGGAGTTTTAAAGTCAGGTCGAAGTGTAGAGAGGATAAATTGTGCAAATATGTTAAATGATAGATTCCCAACACTACGTAATAGGGGGAACAATCTGATCATCTCAGAAGGAACTCGTTTGCTATCCTTAGTAAACATGGAAAACTTGCCAATCGCGGGAAATTTTAAAAATCTTCTACTCAGATATTTGAAGTTATCACAATTGGTACGGTTCCTACTGAAAAACTGAGATCTGGCAATACGGCTGCTAAATCCGATTTCAAGGTTTCTTAGTTTCAGGCGAAATCTATTTGATTTTTCCGTCTCAGGAGAAACTAAGGAGAAAGGCAAATGTATGAGCCGTCAAAACTTGGTTTTAAGGTGTTATGTGAATCTGGCGACTGCAAAAATGCGCCTATCGACGTACACCCTCCTTCTTTTGCCGCCCCACCAAAGGTATTGCACAAGCATGTGTAATAAGTAGATGTGCAGCTGTAGCGAATCCGTGCATGCACTTTTCAAATGACCCATCAAACAATTTACAGTCCGTTCAGACTGAGATTAGGCCAAAATTCGGATGGAGCGCCGCACTCGCTCAAAGGCAGTGACTCGAGGAAACTGCAAGTGCGAGCTCACTCTTCCTTGCCCTTGTGGATGCGCTGAGTAGAGTATCGTGCTTAGAAAAGTCAAAGTGCTTCTTGTGACGTTTTCCGTCCTTGGAATTTGCTGGAGAGGCGGGGCAAACAATCCCCCCCCCCCCCCAAAAGCAGCGATTGGCTGCAGGAGGCTGTAACTCCACACATTTTGGCGGCAATTCGCTGATCGACTCAGGCAACCAATCGCCACTCAGTTGGTGGGAATCGCTCGCTCAGGCCTAGCAGTCTGCAAGGCCGGAAAACGCACGAAAAGCCTAATTTTACTTTTCAAGCACAGCACTCGAATCAGCGCATTCAGGAGGCTAAGAAAGGGTGGTTAGCTGGCAATTGCAATTTGTCCGAGCCACTGCCTTCAAAGGCTTGCCACATCGGGTGCAAGTCCAACAAACTTCCAGTCGGTAATTGAAGAGAATGAGGAAACGCAGTCTCTATGGTCCTGTCACAATTGCCGTCAGGACGTCGCGCGCGGCTGAGAAGCGGACGCGGTCATTCCAATGCTGAGCTAATTCGGGTCTAGAGGGTTTGAACGGACTGCACGATGGAGTCTGTCATATACTGACCCCCTCTCGTCACTGTTGGGTTTCACTTAGTTTGATTACTTTTTTCCTGAATTGTGGGATGTTTGGACAATTAGTTTCTAGAACATTTTGAAGATACCTCATCACACATGTACAACAATTGCACTTTCATACCATGTGGATTCTTCAATTAATGTTCTGCAATTTAACTTAAGCTTACTGATTCTTTTCTTGTTGGAAATTTCGCAAAAATTTGTCATAGAGTTTGAGGTTTCTTTTTTCTGATAAATCATGAACGAATTTGAGGATGTTAGCAGTTCATTTACCACTTTACCATAGTGCACTTCCCCTATATTTTCATTCTTGGTGCTTTCCGTGTGGTCGTCAAGGGGAATTCTCAGACTCCATACATTGGCCGCTCTTATATTCCTTTCCCATTTCTAACGCCAGCGAACAACCCAATGCAGCTTCTTATGGCAGAAACTCTTTGCCCAATTTTCAAAGTCTTACTGTTCTTCAACTGCTCGATATTTCCTAATAAGATTGTCTGGTAACCGTGATGCGGTAACTACCCATTTCTTCCAGATAAGTTAGGTCCGCTTGAGTGTTGTTAGAAAAAAAATATTATCTTCATCAACTGCGAATCTGAGGCTTCTTCTATTTTTTGAGCCCTTCATAACTTAGTGCTCATGCTGCAGTAATCCTCTTGAAGAAACTTAATTAGACTCTTACCTACCCTAGAAAAACTCCACTTTTTCATCAAATAATATTCTAAAGCCCTATCCTGCTCGCTAACAAGAATTGTTTGCGACAATCGGGGAACGGCTCAACGTATCCATTGTGTTTATGTAGTTTCCATGCATTTTCAGTTACGGTGCAGTCATTGCCGGTCAGCATAGTGCCCTTGCGGTGCCGACAACAATTGCGCGTAATATAGCCGTAAAGCATAATAAATGAAAGTGCGCCATGTGAAAAATTTTATCCATCATGTTACCGGCATTGTAAGGGCAATATAGCATATCGATCTACTTATTTATACTTGCTATTGTTTTCCAAATATGTCTTTCAGGTTCCTCCACAACGTGGTGCTATGCAATGGGATGACTCGCAATTTGCCGGCTTTTCAAGCAATGCAAAAATTCCAGTGAACTCGGATTACAAGAATATTAACTGGGAAGTAAGTAGCAACCTTAAAGCTTTGCAATAATGTTATCTGTATTTACGGAAGAAGAATTTTTTTAGCGCCAATATGGCCAGGAGCAATCTTCGCTGAAGATGTTCTCAAAACTGAGCAAGTTACGAACCAGAGACGATGCACTGATGTCTGGACAGACTCTGATGGGGAAGTTGATTGACGGCGCATTCACAGTTGTACGCTTTTATCATCACGACAATGCCACTACAGGAAATGTAGGTTTGAAATACGGTACACACGTATGCTGTATTTTATCTATTTTTTTTCAAAATTAATACACTGTATTTATGTCCGTATAATTTTGCGGCACTATATCAATCGAAAAAAGTTTGCACGGATTTATAGCTTGGAGCTTTTATCGTTTCTGAACTTCTGCGTGTGCTGATGTCGAAAGTGCAAAAATTGCAAAAGTCCCTTCCTGAATTGAATCGTATCAAATGGGCGTGGCGCGAGCGGCCAATCAGCGAAGCAGTCGGGAATTGCTTACTGAAGCTCCACCCATTCGAGCAGCAGTGAACGATAGATCACACGCGCCACCCCCATTCTTACTCGCTCTGCCAAAAAAGCAATTTGACAACTTTGATTTTTCAAGCGCAGATTTCACTCAGTACACACGAAAGGACAAGCATACTCAAATCACGCATCTCGTGGATGGTGGAAAAGTTTTACCTTATATGCTTTACCTTTGCATTTTTTCAGGTCTATGTTGGAGCTTTTAACTTTTCGCCGAATACGGTCAGTCTACCGCTTAACGATCTACCAGTGAACGAGGGTCTGAAAAAGAGTCAGGTTAGCCATGCAATTACTGGACATCAACAGAGTTCTTCTTCAATAATCATTACTAACTTTTTTCGATTTTATTATAAGATTTATGACATTTCCCAGGTTCGGTAGGTCAAGTTGTTTCTTACACATTCGCAATAAACTCTCAAACAATTTGTTTGAAAAGGAATAAAAGCGAGACTAGAAAACAGCTGTGATTCATTCATCCATGTAAAATTTATTGATTATTTTCATTTTTTAAATTCTACATTTGTTGGGTTTGATCTATTTCAATCTATACAACACTTTTGAAGTTTGACATATTTTTATTTTTCTTCAGTACAACAAATCTGGTCATACCTTTTGTACTTGGTTATCCCCACTTCTAAAAGATAAAATAATCATAACTGGTTGTTTCCAGATAGTGACAACGACGTCTAATGTGGAACGATACTATCCGCGTCAAACTGTCGACTTCGGCTCGAAAACTATAGAGCTTCACAAAGATGAAGGTGTTGTGTTTAGATATTCAGCCGGTAAATAAGCATAGAGTGGCATAAAGCATATCTTATGTTTAATATTTTCTTGCCGTTCATTTTCATCAACTAGAACTTGCACAAAAATTATTTATAGATAGTGGTGCTTGACAGCCTTTTCTGATTTTATTTTGCTTTGGATAGTTTCAATAAATATGTGAGGATTTGCGATGTGAAAATGATTTCATTATAGAAATCTCAGTTACAGTTTGACTAAATCGAAACATTAAGATAATGTCATGGCCGAATGTCGTTAAAATTGTTACTAATCCCAAGATCCATTTGTAGAGCTAAGCTCGCTCGACTGAAATGTCCTTTGCAGTTGTGGCAGCTGAAATGAAGAAAAACTTAGATTCGACCAGAATTTTAAAAAATCTGATGTACTTTCATCAGTTAGAGCTGAAAACTGGTTAGAAGACTTATAAAACTATGCCTTTTGTTGTGTCAAAGGCTCCCTGCTCTACTTTTAGAAATATTTTTTCTACCCACATCCTTGCTGGTTTTTTGAGTAAAAACGTGCGTACAAACATGAAAAAGAAATTCTGCCTTTATTCTGGTCATATATACTGATGGGAAAAATTTGAGAAAAGTTTGGTTGTAATTGGTACAAGCTTGAAATGATGATATAACACACGATTCTACTGGGTCGTAAGAAAAGTTGTTAAACTTTTTTGATTCGTTTCAAAAAATTCTAATAATTCTATCAAAGTAATATTTGGCACATATGAGCGACGGACAAAGGAGTATTTATTTTCATCATTCTTTCCAAGGATGAGTTAAGGTTAATATGAAGACAATATTGTGACGGCACTTCAACTTCCTTCTTTTCTTTTTCTCAAAAAAAATCCTACCATTATTATTTTTATGCTCTTGGTTCTTTTATAGATTTTTGGGAACATTAGCACTAATATGAAGGCACTTTGGAGGTTAGGCTATTCCGCAAGTTGGAGATTTGCCAAAAATAAATCGAAAAAATTCAAAAAATTCAAAAATTGAATTTTTTATGTGTTACATGTATATATCGAAAAGCTATAACCCTCCACTGAATCTAAAAATGAAAAAAATAATTTGAAAGAGTTATGGAGATTTTTTCTTCGGGTTTAACAAAACTTATGTTACGACCCGATAGAAAGGAGTGAGCAAAAAGAAAACAAGAGATATTCGATGTACAAACTTGCTTGATCATCAGTGAAAAAAATTGTGCACTCTGAGTACAGCAATTCTCTTTCAAGTTCCCTATCTAAGCTGAATTTTCGAATTAGAGCAAAGGCATCAGTTCTAAGGAATAAAAAAAAGGTTCATATTTTCCGAAGTCTAAATTTATTTCGTAGAATTGAAGCAAACGTACAAATAAGTCAGTGCCACATTCTGTTAGGTTATTGTGAGATATAGAGAGATTTTGAACGGGATAGCAACTCACTTCATTTGTACGAGTGTAACCAGCAGGCATGCGATACAAAAGCGTGTCTGTATTGCCTTGCTTCCATAGCTCCATAGTCTCCTAAAAACATCTTTCACTGACAATTCACAAATACATTCTCTGTTTTTATCGTATAGAGTTTTTGGCGCTATTCCAGTATACCTACCCCAAAAATTAAAAATCTCGGATTTCGCTCAAACTCGGTGCAGGGGGTTATTCGACACGCTGATGCCGAATATCATATCGATTTCGTGCGGTAGCGCCATTTTCTGGGGGTTACGGTGGGTATACGGTAAGGGTCAAAATCACAAAATTCTCTGAAACTCGGTGCAGGGGGTTATTCGACACGAAGTGGAAGATCATTCCTGGTTCTGGTACGACGACGAGATGCTCGCACCCTCTTGTACCTCATCGTCAAATATATAAGGCCCGGCACCACCATCATCAGCGATTGTTGGCAAGCCTACAATCGTATTTCCGCCCTTCCACAAGGTTACAGGCACCTTACGGTCAATCACCATCTCAACTTTGTGGATCCGACGACTGGGGCGCACACCCAGAACATCGAGAGCCATTGGCAGAGGTTCAAACGCCTCGACAAGCAGAAATGCGGGATTAACAACAGCCGCTATGCAGATTACCTGAAGGAGTTCTTGTGGAGGCAGATGTTCGGCAAGCGGGAAGAGTCCCTGTTTCACTTCTGGAAGCAGGTAGCCGAATTGTACCCGGTTCCCTGCTGAAAACATATGCTGTCCCAAAGGCCCTCATTAGGGCCACCTTTACAAATATTCAGGGAAGATATCCAGGGTTTTCAGAATGAGTTTTATGGAGTGCTCATATAAACTTAGAGGGGGAAAAGCAAATCTTAATTGGAAAATTAGAAAAAATCGTGACAGTGACGTTAATCGGCGCAGAAGCTTTGACCCCCTACCGTATACCCACCGTAACCCCCGGAAAATGGCGCTACCGCACGAAATCGATATGATATTCGGCATCAGCGTGTCGAATAACCCCCCGATACCGAGTTTGACCGAAATCCGAGATTTTCAATTTTTGGGGTCGGTATACTGGAATAGTACCGAGTTTTTGCTCAAAGTTGGGAGGGAGGGGGGGGGGGGGGGGCGGGGGGTGGGGAAGTAATAACTCGGACAGTCCACCCGAACTTCCTCTGGACAAGCAAGATATGCAGCGGTTCTGCAGGATCTTGTTTACTATTGTAAAAGGAAAACGTTGAACATGAGAACTTCCGCAGCATTTTCACGTCAGACTGGTTGAAAAAAGCGCGGCAGAACCTCCAAAAAAGCAGGCGGTTCCGCAGCACTTTAACATGCCAGTACTTCTGCAAGTTTTTGAATGTGCCTCAAATTCATGGGAAGTGTGGGGTAGAACGCACCTCTAACGACGGTAATCCCAATGCTTTTCTTGATTTTTGCAATTCTTCCTCCCGTTCCTTCAGCTGTAGCATTTCATTCTTGATCAAGCTGCCTATTCTCTTCTCAGGTGACTGGAAATACAAAACTTTGCGATATTTTCAAAATTTTCTTTTTTACCGAAAAAAAGTACTAACCAAACGGTCAGAATGGTGCTCGCCGCCTTCATCGTGTTCTTTTACTGATGCATCGTTTCTGCGTGATGCTGGGGCCATTTGACTTTTTTTGAGAAATCGTCCTCTCGGTGACTCAGAGTGCACCTAACATAGGAACTATGCTATGCAACACAGATGTCTGGTAAGGTTTGGGCCGTTTTGCACAACTACAGCGCTGCCAGGAATTTCCATGCAGGACCGACAAAGAATCGAAACATAGTGTACAGTAGTGCAAAACGGCCATGACTCTGTATGATCACTTCTCACCGGTGAGGTTCCATCGACAAACCGAAGCTCTACTCGCTTGCTTTGCAATTCTTCCATTGCTCGTCCAGTGGACTGAGGAAATTTGATACCTAACCCTAAAGAACGCCATTCATAATACACAAAAATCTTTACCAATTATCAATGAGTCTTACCTGAAACAATGTCCGGGTTTTGCTTCATATAAAGCATGAATAGTTGCTCTTCAACAGAATATGCTTGTCCCTGTGATCCGTTGTACTTTTGGGTACTGATAGACACTATAAAAGCAGTATAAATTTTCTTGCGCGCTTTCTTTTTTTTTCAAATCTAAGCATTACCACTAGGCCGACGATGAGCAGAATATCCATTTTCAGTGATATAGTTGGTATTTGTGGAAGTCTAAAAACTTGCAGTATCTTAACTTTATCTCTAGGTTATGTATTTTTACGCAATGTTGTAAGCAGTATGTTACCTGATAATGTTGATTACGATCATTAGCATGTGAAAGACCATTATTAGAAGAATACTCGGACGTTGTAGTGCGGGTAGAATGGCCAGAATATTGGCGAGCTCAAACATAACATTGGGATAATGATAGGCTATCACCTATGAAATACAAAAATCTCTCACAAAACCCCAGGAAGAGTAAAATTTCAATACTTGCAGTATGATTTCAACGAGCATACAGATAATCAAGGAATGATCAAGGAATCAAAGACTATACATAGGAAATGGGTTCTTTTGAGATATAAGGAGAAAGGAAAAGATTTGAAGACGTTATGGGAACTCCCGATTAAAGTAAAGTGTATTCTAATACACTTGAAGGAAGCTCAAATGAGGAGGTTTTGAATTTCTGAGATGTTCAAAAGATGGATCTTCTAGAAATCTCCGATATCACATCTTAAAGAAAATTATTGAAAGTTTGGTTGCGGTTCAGAAGGGCCTACACCCGGTTTTCCTAGGAGCTTTTAAACGACCTTTTTTAAGCTCTAGCAAAAATAATTTGGAGACTGGACTTTGAGGATTAAGCCGTGTGCATTTTGAGAGTATAGTTTCTTTGCATTTTAAAAGCTCTCCAACTGGAAATTTATTTATACTCACATCTGGTTGCAGTCAAATTGCGGTTGGGCTCGAATCGTTCCCTAGCTTCGGCAATGTTCGCAATGGACTCGCGACTAACAGAACTGCGAATTTTCTCTCGATCATACCTGGAAAGGAACTGGAGATGTTTCTAGCAAAACACATTTCCCTTAGCTCTTGTAAGCCTAATATTGAAGCTTGTAATTCAAAGATTGTTCAAAAATAAAAAAGGGCTCATACCATGGCGTATAGTCGACTTGGATGACAAGCGAGTCTAAGCTTGTTCCTTTGCGCATTGGTCTGGCAGGTTCAGCTCGCTCGTGGATCAATGCCTACGTCATTTTTTTGTGAATTTTATAAAAATCAGTAAGATTTTCCGTGTTCTTGATTTCCTTACAGTCAAAACTCCCCATACCTTTTGAACTGCAGCCTCTTGGTTGGTTTCCCGCATTTTTTGCAATCTCTTTTCGGGGATCACACTATCCTTGGGTACTCCAACGCTATTTGAGGCAACCAACGAAGCAGACAGAGCATCGGTGGACCTCCATTTTGGGAAGCTATATGGTTTCATGTGTTTAGAACGTTGACTTTCTCCCTGCAAAATATTTTTTTCAAATTTACGAGTTTTGAAAGTCATGCTATACCCTTTCTTTTTCTTCCCAGGCAATGTTAGCCTCCCAAAAATCCCGAACACTTAACCCAGGTTGCATCCGTCGTTCAACTGGCTGATTGCAGGGCCAAAATGATGGAGTTTGGCGGCCTGAAAGAGAGTTTTTTTATTGGTAGGTCAAAAATTTATTTCTATAGGATGTATTTTTATAGGTATGAAGTAATGTTCGTTTTCAATGCTCTACAATTGGCGCAATAACAGTTCTATCTTTTCTATAAATTTATTTATTTACTTGTTATAATCAATGCGTGCCATATCAAAATGGTAAAAGATATCAAAAAATGCAACATTTGAAAAATAGCAAAAAAACAGTCTTGTGGTCCACTCAACTTACTGGATAATTAGTTCTAAGCTTAAATTACGAAATATTTCAAACAGTATTTGGTAAAATATGGGACGCTTTCGAGTCAAATCTCAAAGCTTATCGACGAGTTCTTCTACGATATAACTGTCAATCTGAAGCAACAGGTTTTCTGATTTTATATGCGTCAAGCTGGAGAATTTGTGTAAAATGTGACTGATATCGTAAGAATATCAATTTTCAGTCATTTTTTGTTAAAGAAGAATAGTGCAAGTTAATGCGGAATGGCCAAAAAATGGCACCTACTGCTTCCAGACAAGATTCAGCAGCTGTAATGCAGAATTTTTTTGAATGTGAAAACCAAACTTGATTCGTAATCATAGAAACGAGTTGTAAAGAAAAAGAGGAAGGTGTAGCAGTAAAAAAATTCCTTAAATAATATGACGTAAATTAGGGTAAGTTGAAGGCGAAAAATCGAAAGTGATAGGCTGCTTGTAAGTCCATCCAAGGGCAGAAACAAACAAAACGCACTCTCAAGAAGCTCTCAGGCCGGATCAAAATCCAGACTCGGTGCACTCAAAAGGTGCGATATGCACACTGTGCACAAAAAAAACACCGAAGAGGCTAGTATTCTTGAGAAACCGATCGAATCGTAAGCGGTTCACGTTATTTTGGGTATCATGAGAATACTGAATTGATAAACAAAGGCAAAAAAGTAGAGGATGAAAGGGGGATTTTCATTCTGTATTTGGAAAGCTTACCTGCTATTAGCGGGTGCGCGTGAATGAGATGCTTTGCTGAGACAACAATATTCTGTCAAAAGCTGACAAGACAGCGTCTAGGTGGACAGTTATATATCGAATGGCGTTTAATTCCTTTTTAGAGCGTAATCTCTTAGCTGAATACAGTCCTCAACTAGCTTTTTAGCTACTCATTGAGTGCTGAAAAAAATTGCGAATTAAGTCACTGCTCAAATAGACTCTTTTACGAGCCACGAACTTCCAGCTTCCATGCTCCTTAGAGTTACTATGTTGGCTAAAAATGGATTCTGTCGTCTTGATTGTTGTTAGAAACAGGGCTCCGCGCGAGATGGCTAGTGCTAGTTGAAAATGCAAAAAACCAAATCCTCCTTGACTTTGCGAATTTTTACGAAGTCCTCTTTGACTCCAAACCATAACATAATCCCTAAAAATCCCCAAAAAACGAAACGTCGACCAAAAAACGTCGCAATTTTGTGTCTTTTGGGCCACAAAAACGATACCCCCTTTGCCTTTTGTCCCAAAAACGATAACGAGCTTGCTTATAAGATGTATGAAAGCACGGTATAGAAAAGAGCAAATCAAGTAGAATAGGACAATTAACTCTGTTTTCCCGACTATCCTTCTGATGAAGAAATAGCAAAGGAAAATTATTTGAATTTCTTTCGTCAGATTCTCGAAAAAACGTCGTCCAAAATTAAACTAAATTGCAGTGCCGGTATGAAACAAGAATTGAAAATTCAAAAAAGTGATATATGGGAGACGAGCTATTCAAAGATCTAGCTGTCATTTATTTGACGAGAAGTTCTGTGGTTCTGAAATATGAAAGCAAAGGCTTGTAGCTACCTTCCTACAAAAAATCTTTACATAGCTGCTGCTCGAATTGTTGCAAAATTTCGAAGTTGCATGTCACAACGAACTTACTTACTTGTCAACCTAATATCACATTCTTAACCACAATTTTGTGGAAGTATCTCAAAATAAGGGTTTAGATTGGATAACTTTCAAAAAGCTAAAACATTTTTAGTTTGAATCAAGATCATATGATTACTTTGAAATCATAAGTGGTACAAAAATTTTAATGAGAGATTTATGCGTAAAAGACATTTGTCATGTTCGCATATCATGTGCCAAGATTAGTTGATTTATTGACTCATTGTATATGTTAACTGAAAAAATCAACGAAACAAATGAATTTCTAATTTTGAGAAGAAAAAAGATGTTAGACACGAAACAAAATTCATTAGTTTTTCTGAGTGAAATGAATTTAGCCTATAATCAGTCGACGCAAACAATATTTCCTGTCTATTTGCAGAATGTGGTCGAAAAAAATAAGCACTGGAGAAAAGGAACAAGAGAAATCAAGTCGTTACAACGTCTGACAGATAGAAAATGCCTGATTTTTAAATTTGAAGCAGTATCCATAAAAAATGTACACTTCCACTTCATTTGTAATGGTATAATAGAAACAGCAGACAAGAATGAAATTATTCCTAAAAAGCTTCTTTCTCGTGATCTTTATGGCCTATAAAACAGAGATTTTGAGCACGCATATGTAGTATATGTACAAGTTTCTGAGCTATGTACTGCGTTTCATAAATAAAACAGGACATTGACTAGTCGATTAGAATTAGGATGATGGATGGCGAAAACCTATAGTTCAAGCAAACAACGTTCATCTCAAAAGCAAACCAATCCCTCCTCTGTCGAAAGCAAAGTCTGCAGTGTTTCAACCTTTCAAGTTAGATTTTGCCCTCATTTGTATTCCAACACCTCAAATGTTTCGTTGCCTTGGTTTATTGCCCACTTAGCCATCCTATCAAAGTGTCAGTGAAAAATCGCTTGAAATATGCAAATAAGGTCGGCTACGCCCTTTTGAGACGAAAGAGCTAGCAGTTTCAAAGTTGCGCAGATATTTTATGGGGCCAAGTTAGTACGACCATTTTGAAATCAGCTAGAATCTAGCAAAAAATCGCACGATATAGCTCACTACACTTTGTTATAATTATGCTCTGCTAAATTATGGGATTGCAGAGCATTTAGGATCACCAAAAAAGACATTGGTACAAACAAAGCTCTTTTGAGTTTCTTGGCGACGAAGAGCTCTCCAATTTTTCTAAACAAAATGAAAAAAATGGCATTCATTCTTTAAGTACAACGTTTCGTTCAAATATGTATGTGGCTTTTTTCCCTGGGTGCAGAAAATTGTAATATACTTCTAGCTTATTGTTAGTTTCTTGCTCACCATCTACCTTAATTTCACGCGCACAAGGCCCGGGGATTTCTTTCCAAAATCGACCAACCCAAATACGCCAAAGAACTTCGCAACCAAAGGACCCAATGCCTTGCTGTATATTGCTTAAGAGAATCGTACAGCATAAGGATCCGCTTTCCGGAATAATTTAAAGTGGCTGAGAGGCTTAGTCGAAAAATCGAAAAAGGTGCGCCTTGTACGCGTAAAATTAGGGTAAATAATCATTTTCATGGAGTTCCTGCTGCATGTTTCTTGAGAAAAAAGAACTAAAGGCAGAAAGAACAATTCCCAGTAAAAAACGAAAAGCTTTTGTAAATAGTAAAGTTTGAATTGTCAAACAAGTAAAATTATCACTGCGTCTCAATACAAACTATACAAAATCTTTTACTTCCTCAGCTCTTGCTTTAACCCTCTGAATGTGTTTTCCTCTTCATTTTCGTTTACAGAGTCGATAAGAACTAGCAGCTATAAATTTAGCTAAGAGTGAAGCTCTACAATGGCTCAATTTTCTGGAAAAGATGTTCAGTCACTTGCACAAAAAATGTTCCTCTATCACTAGAAAATTTGATCTCAAAAAAAATTTCAATGGTGTTGTAACGAGAAGGTAATGCACTTTCCAAAAAAGCAACATGAAGGAACAGTCCAAAATCTCACGTCCTTTCACATACTCCCCTCACTTTTTCATTGAGAGTGGATGCCAGATATTTTCAGAGCTGCTCTACTCTCTACATTATCACTGGAGATGTTTCGAGAAAGAAGCCTGTGACCGAGTTTTTTTTGTGCTGCTCAGTACTCCAAATATTACAGAGAGCTGTTTACAAAGGAGATTTTTGTAGAATCAATCGATCAGAAGAATGTTACAAGGCAATCGACAGCAAACAAGCGGCAAGCAGCTCTCGAGTGGGAAGCCGTGCGAAAACCAACGGCGGAGCTGTTCGCTGACGCCAGATCCGGATGAGCTGCCAAGCGGTCTTGTGTTTGGTTTCTGGGCTCCAGACTCTTCTTTCGGAGTCTTTCTTAGCCCTGGTCCGTAGCTTGCACAAACAGATGAAAATTTGGGCAGCTGCAGTAGCCAAACCTTTTTCCATTTAGGAACAGTGAGACAAAAGTGCTGCGCAACTTCACCATTTAGAAATCTCGTCTGTAGTGTCTAACTTAAAAGAATAAGACCAAGATTTTGTCTTTGTGGTTTGAAAGAAACTGAGATCTCATTAACGAGGGCTACTGCGACTGACTGTGGCCGAAAAATGGCGTGTCAGGGATTTAGCGCGCGCTGATTTCATCACTCAACTTTTTAGGAGTTTGTAAAGCTTTTCAAAAGGTGTAATCATAATTTTAGAGAGCCTTGTAAAGACAGCTATTGTGTTTCACGTGGCCCAAATTATGGAACCTTTGCGGTAAAATGCAAAGTTCACTTTTGGTTTTGCGGAATCTAATTAGCCTAGTATATGAGTTTCCAGATTCTTTGGTTTGCTTTCCGAGGCAAAATAGTGCCATCAATGGCTCAAAACCCTTCTTGATTTTCCTATCGTAATCACAAAGTAATGAAAATGGAGCGTTGTATCGCTCCATAACGTAAATCTAAGTTGAAGTCAGTTCTACAAAATGGTACATGAAGGTAGGCAAAAACTTCTAGAAAACAGAGATATCTGCGATCAACTAGTGTACTTTTGGGACACCCTGTATAGGTAAAGCCTTCTATCCCCATTCAATAAAATTTGAAAATTTTGAGAAGTCAACTCCTTGCCGTATACTACAGTAACCTGCCTACCTCACACTCTAAGCATTAACCAGGGTCATGAATGAGCATGGTTTTTATAATAAGTGTGTCAGACAATCGTGGGAATCTCAGGGAACCCTATGGTCTCAGAATTTTAATCTAACATTTTTTGGAAAATCAGAGAAATTTTACAAGCGAAAAAATATCATGGGCAACCAAACAAAAAATTACAGTCGACTAACCTTCAGAATGCGCTCCACTTGGTGTTCTACTGCCTCTTCTCACATCCTCCGTTGTTTTCTGTATGGCTTTGGTAACGGTAATTTGCTAGAAGGAGAAAGTGAGAAATTATCAAAATTTTATTTTCCAGTGCATACCTGAGGTTTACTTGTACTTGTACTCGTCGATTCCCGGGTACTTGAAGAATTTGTCGATCCGCAACCAGAATCGCTGCTGTGAATACAAATTTGACGAGAATCCCGAAATCAAAAGTACTAAAAAGTTCTCACCCTACAAAGTAAACAGTTGCAAATTCCTCATTTCGTCTAGATGGGGTAACAATATCGTTGATAGAGGGAGATAAGATGGGTCCTGAAGTCATAACAATCTTATTCAGGTGAAGTCTACAATGATTTCTTTTCTGAAATTATGAAAGACAGATATGTAGCTGTTCATATTTGGTGAAAGGTAAAAACTCAAAATTTCTTGCGAATGTAGGGGAATAAACGAAGATTACTTGCTTGATGACTGAAATAACGAAGAAAAATTTTCTACAAGTATGAAGAAACTCCGAAACTATTTTATCGATGGGGAAACTTATGAAAAATGCAGTAACGGAGAGCAATTTTCTTTTTTATTTATTCTTTTCTAGACAGGAAGTGAACATGAGATACTTTGACATGATAGAAAATTTTTAAGCACTTAATGTTGTTATTTTTTACTAGTGATAGATGAAGGGATTTTAAGAACTCATCAAATAAAATATTCAATGTACCTTCACGCTTTTTCGACACTGGCGATCTTCTTCTCAATGCTGTTCCCGCTGCTCTCGGCCTTGCACTTTCTTCTGCCAGCATCTTCAATAATAAAATTCAGATTTTATGAAAGCAAATGTTCGGAAGCAAAGAAGCTAACAAAAATGAAGAAGGTGCAGTTAAAACTGCACGATAGGCATAAATGAGAAAGGGTAAAAGGATTTTTCCGTACTACTTTTACATTCCAAATGTGTGATATTAGTTACAGCCAGTGAAATGAGTGAAAAATTGAGAAAATAGCTTGATTTTTTCAAATTAAATAAATTAATAATTAATAATAAATAAATAAATTTATAAAATCAATAAATAATTAAATAAATTGAATAAAATCAATTAGATTCTTTTTAAATAAATTAATAAAAAATTAAATAAATTGGTAAAATTACGCATCACGAAACAGATTTTGACAAACAAAATTACTTATCAAACAAAATTATCAAATTAACAAATTATTTCAAGCTTTTAGATAGGTGACTAAAGTTCTTCCATAGAGTTCTTCTCTAGTCTATAGAAGGGGAAAAGCTGCTGTGACGCCACATTTGTAGGATGAGCGAAGAAAAATGGGGCGTTAAGGGAAAAAAAGTCTTTCTGGCTGCACAGTATGAACGGAGTAAACACGATGTTAAGAGGGCATACAGGAATTTTTTAAAACAAAAATTGGAAGTATGCACGACTGCAATATCGCTTCATATCCGCTCCACAAAAATGATCCAAGAAAAGCATGCACGTGCTAATCCTCAAATCGGAGAATCGAAAACTCTAAAGAAATGCAGGGATACACTCGAACGCGTAGCTGCTGATGACAGTCAACATTGACATAGCATAGGCTGGGTTATTGAAAATCGGTAGGTGATAGAGATGGCATCATTGTGGGAAAGTTTGCAGAAATGAAAACAAAATGATCATAAGGCTTTGTGATGAGGAAATAGGTGCTAAACATTTCTGAAATTGCATATGCTTTCTTTACGATGAGAGATTGGGATATAATCAATGTTCTTTATAAGTATATTTATCAACAGGAAAAAGAAAAAAAGAGAAAGAGAAGTGTGCTCAAATCTTGGCAAAAAGATTAGTGAAGAAGGTTTTTACAGGGTGGTCAGAAGGTAAGAATGGTAAGAATCCACAAAATTCCGTCAAAATTGAATTAACCAAAAATTTGTGATCCTTAAGTAGTTATGGGTATTGACACCGCTTTAAGTGTGCAAATTTGCACGATCTATTGTATGTAAGAGGGGTTATAAATCCTACACCCAAATTTTTGCCGCAATACAGCTCAGGAAAAAAATATTTACTCTCAAACGTGCTTGAAGCCAAAAAAGCATTCTGATATATCAAAGATGGATAGAGGATGAAAATAAAAACAGTCAAATTGCATTTTTTTCAAATTTGGCCTTGAAAATGCTACGCTAAAAACACCTAAGATTATGTAGAACTACTTCCAAATAGGATTTTAGGACCTATTCTTTTCAGACGAGAAGTAGCGTTGACTGAATATACACGTAGGTTTTAAGACTTTTCAAGTATTTCTAGTCGTATTTGAGTTTGTTCCTTATAGTCTTGAGTAAAATAGAGTAGAAATTACGGTAAGGTAAAGTAAAACATTTACAGTAAGGTAAATGATCATGATCTAAACATCTGTCATAATAAGTTTATGCGAATGAAGTCGCTCCTCAAGATACTGACAAACAAAGCTGAATATCTGATTTTACGACTTGTAGACCAGCCTAATTCAAAATTCGGAGTGATTAAAGTATTGATAAACTAACAATTCTATAAAATTTGGAGAACTTAGCGAATCTTATGACTTGTTGAACCAAGAAGGCGGACACATTCGATTTATCTTGCGAACACGCCTAAGTTGAGGAATTTGAGTGTATAGCTCTACTCGAATATGTGGCACTTATACCATCAAAAGCTCATGAATCAATTTAGGACGCAAAATTCTGAAAACGTTGAGTCGTCGTAATTATATTCGCTCGGAGCTATTTTGACAGTCGTTCATTTCGAATTCCAGCAGAAAATCTCACCAAGATAAACAATATTGAGCATTCGAAAAGTGAGCAATGTCTAGACCATGCACTGGATACAGAAAATGGCTAAGCAAGGCGAAGTGGTCGAGAACGGGAGATGCTTGAGGCGTCCGCTGTGAACTAACAGATTCCGGTCGGGGCTCGTGCTGGACACACAGAACAGATAAGCTGCTGCTCGTGTGCGGCTCTCTGATCACTGTAATGAGAGACACTTCACAAGGAGAAAACGTTCTCCCGATACTTGCTTGCTTTCTTAGCTTATTCCGAAAACTCAAACCGGGTTTAAAGCATGGTTTTATCGTTTTTATTGAGCAATGGTATGCGCGAAGGTTTTCATTGTTTAACAAATTCAGAGCTCAATGGCGTCCATGCGTCATGGACAACTATCGCGCGTAAAAAATGAGCAATGGAAAGGCGCAGAAAAAACAAGCATTATGTGCCATTCCTTACTCTCGAATATTTCCGATGCTACAAGTGGTCCACGCTATTCGGCCCGGTAAGCGATTCATTGATTGTCGGTGACAGGGTGTCCAAAAAATGTGCCTACTGTTTGATTGTTAATAACTCTCTTGTAATGAAGCCTTTTGAGAAGCTTTAGATACCATACTGTGGAGCTGGATTCAGCTCAGATTTGAAGTACAAAGCTGAGCACCGATCGCTCTTCATTACTGTTGGATTACAGTGGAAACTTCAGACATGTGGTGTCACTGTGGAACAAGCTTCTGTTTCAAAATTTCTTCAGAAAAATGTGAAAACTTGTGTAGTATGGTTTTCATGGCGTTGAGTTTTTAATACTCTACTATATACGAGATTGCGAAGGTTTCTGAACGGTGTAACCGCTGTTGCGGCTCGGTGTGCTCAGCACCTCACCCAGTGCTCGTCCGTCTGACTCCACAACTCCTGACTCCAGGATCTACTGCTTCGGCACTAGTGCGCGCACTCTAGCGCGTCTGCTCGCCGCCAACACCCCTCCAACCCGTACGACATGAACATCACACGCGCGACCAGATTACATTACATTTATCTAAAACTACACAAAATAACAACAACTACTAAAACGAACGAGAATACTAAACTACTAAAAACCACTAGACACTACTCAACTACTACACTACCACTCCAGGATCAAGAAGAATACGCACGGGACGAGCCGCCTCGTCCCGTGCTGCCGATGCCCGGTGAAGATCAACTTTAACGAATAGTTCCGGGTTCTCCGAAAGGTCAATCGCAAGTCCTTAGCCCTTACGGGACAGTGAGACCCCTCTCCACTCCCGCAATCCTTTCCGCTGCTTGTTAAACTACAAAGTTAGCTGCGCGTCTCCATACACAAGAAAAACAACAAGGGCTCAACCGCTCGAAACCGTTGATCATCTGCGGGAGCTACTGGAGGCGCAGCCAACGGTTGATATCATCAAAAAATCGATAACAAACGAAGCTCGAGGAGGCGTGGACCGCAGCCCACTCGCCCTTATATACCCTACAACTTGGCAACGCGCCCAGTAGAAGAGGTCTTGGCGCGATCTTGATAGCGCGCCAAGTAACACGATAGCCAGCGCTCCCGGCCTCCTGTTTCGAGGAGTGGCTTGCATCGCTCGAGCCGCGACAACCGCAATTTTTAGGAACATTGAAAACGATCGCTGCTGCATAGCTCGCATAACTTTTTAGTGAAGCATTATAATAAGCTGCAAACTTCACATCTGAAATCTACAATTTTATTTAGCCCAGTGTGAGTTTCCAGGCTGTTCTGTTCCTTTCCAAGGCAGAATATGGCCTTTTACGGCTTAAAACCCTCTTCAATGTTCCTAACATAATCCTACAGTAATGGAGAGCAGTCGGTAATACGCTCTACACCGTAAATCTAAGATGAAGTCTGCTCTATTGAATGGTACGTGAAGTTTCTCAAAAGACTCCATTACAATAGAGTTATTAATAATCAAACAGTAGGAACATTCTTCTGGGACACCCTATATATGTAGTAGTTATACCTCGTAATAGTTAGCTTGATTGAGTTTAGATCTAATAAATTGGAGTATAATACATTATCTAACCACTTCCATCCTCCTATGGTAAATCTGTCAGAGTAAGGAAGGATGCCTCGTGGCGAGAATGGAATTTGTTGCAGGGATCACAAAGATTCCTTATACTATGCCATTTTTCGCTCTGAAAGAATGATATACTTGCTATTCTTTTCAATCTGGCGTGAAATATAACTCCTGAAGAAGTATATTTCACCGTCACTTTAAAGGCAGCGTCCAGGCAAGCCTAAACCTATGGATATTTTACGTGGAAAGTACTTTTGGGGCCCTAACTAAGCCACTGCCCAACCGGCAGCTCAGGTAGTGCCCTAACGGCTGAGATATTACCCTCGAAACTGGACCCCGCGAAAGCGTGGATCCTCGCGCGAAACTGCCATGAATCATGCGAATACGTTCGCGGGGGCCAGTTTCGAAGGGAATATCTCAGCCATTAGAGCACTACATAAGCTGCCGCTTGGGCAGTGCCTTAGTTAGGGCCCCAAAAGTACTTTCCACGTAAAAGCCCCATAGGTCCAGATCTGCCTGGACGCTGCCTTTTAGTTGATGCATGTTCTACTCTTTTTGAATCTGTGCGCATAAAACTTTGAAGCTACTGCTAGCTCTAATCATGCAGTCATTGCCTTATACCCATTTCTCCGTTTGAAAGTTTCTGTAGTTCTTCGATTTAAAGGCAGTGGACAGGCAAAATGGACCCCTGTCAGATTTTGGTAGTTTTGAGTAGTGGACTCCCCAATTACACCGTAGCCCCAACCCCAACTTCCAGATGATGCGCTAAGTCCTGAAAAAAGCGCTTCAAACTTCCACCAATAACGCCCACTCAATGGAAGTGGGCGGGGCTGGTGGAGTTTTGAAGCGCTTTTTTCAGGACTTAGCCCATGAATTGGAATGTGGGGTTGGGGCTACGGTGTACTTGGGGGGTCCACTACCCGAAACTACCAAAATCTGACAGGGGTCCATTTTGCCTGTCCGCTGCCTTTAAGTCGTTGACAATATAATTGCCATTGCCATAGCTTGGCATGATACTTTCTAGTCAAACATGAGTGTAAAGCATTTTGGATATGTTATAACTAAATCAAATGTTTAACTGAGCAGTCGCTAAACATAACAATGCAAATGCTTATTCAAGATAGAGACGGCCTTTTTGACTCCTGTTGACCTTAAAATAGAATTTCAAGACAACGAGCTTGGAACAAAGCCGAGAGTTCAAAATTATTACGGTCGTTTGTGTTCAGAATGCTGCGTTCAAGCTAAATTGGTATGGCTGTGCTATTAAAAAATATAATTGTTCCTGTAATCATTGAGTGTTCAACCTATTCCCCATATTGAAAAATTTATTAAAGAATTAGAGCAGCCAGTCGTTGTTGTTCAGTCAGAGTGCTTTGAAAGTTAATAGGTTGCCCCAAATGTAAAGTCCAATTCAAAACAAATTGAGCTGTTTTTGATTTCCTAACACACTTAGGCTAGCTTTCGATAGAGAGAAATAAGCTTTACTAAACTACCACCAAAAATCCACCTAAGTCAAAATCCAGGTAAGATTTGGCGCCAGTCAAAGATTTTTAAGTACATAACAATCGGTTCTTCCTCCAGTAGATTCCTACGGACTTCCAGCTGGTCATATCGTGGACACATAGTAATACCCAAAAAAATGTACTTGGTTAATTCGGGTCTCAAAATTGACAAACAGTACTGTTTCGGACTTTTCATGTAAAACTTGGTATTTCTCAATCATAAGAGCACATACAAGGACAATGTCATAAGATTATACTTATTAAAGCTTGTAGTATACAATGACATATGTGGAAGTTGCTGGAGGTGGAGTTTGCCAATATTGGGCTATTTTTTACTCGCTTCTCACGCGCGGAACCACTCCAGCAATGGCATATTTGAGTACTACTATGTGTCTAGTGTATACTGACCAAGTTGGAGGTCCGTAGGAATTTTTTCCTCGCGAAAATCAATTTCCAAATCGATTTTGTCTTGAAACTTTATATGGATTGCGACCTAGGGGATTCCTTGGAGGCCAAATTGTAGAGCTTGATCTGCTCTATCAAATGATTTTAAAGGCTGCTAGGAAAAAACAGCTTGATTTATTTAGATTTCAGTGGAAACGATCAAAACACTGCTCTCAACTCATCACTGAAGCAGGCTTAAATTGCATTAATCCAGTGAGCCAAACTGTGTTCGAAAGTAACGCATTTGTATCTCATCGTGACATAGATTTATCTTAATCTCGAAACTGGAAGCAGGAAGGATATAGATATATGAGAAACAAAGCTAAAACCGGGCATCTAAATTCAGCATCTGAGATCATATCAGAATTTGCCCAGAAGTCACCTTACAAATTTTTCTACAGGCTTGCCTATTTTTAGAGCAGACAAGAAAGCTTTGAAGCGTTTTTAGAAAAGGGCGGCTGTGAAACGGAGTAGCCTATAAAAAAGGCGGGTAACTGAAATGCTCAAGTGAGATTTGGCAACATTGAACCTTTGTTCGTATGATATCGTCTTGTATTGTATACTTTCCAAATCTCCAGTTCTCCAGTAAGCAATGCCGTGCACACTAGAACAGTTTGCAGACCAAATATGAATATTTGTAAGGCCGTTCTGAACAAAATAAGGAAATGCTTCTGTCAGTAATAAATGAATGTCAGTAACATGTGGTTCTCCCAGGTTCCCTTCCCATGATGCCACTGCCAGGCTATACCCCTCCCCCCCCCCACACAAAAAATTGCGAGTTGGTTGATTTTCAGTTTATGAGTACCGGCTATTCGCCAGAGTCATAACAATCACAAGATATACAGAATTTTTTGTTAAGTACCTCAAAAATGTTTTGCAAAAAGAAGAATGAAGAAATTTCCTTCTGCTTTGCAAGTATGACCTTCGACATTAGAGCTAGGATTTTGTAGGTTTGCTTTTCTGTGATGAATCACGGCACCTCAGCATAGTGTTTGCGAATTTCTACAGTGATTTTTTATATCAAGTTTAAGTCAAAGTAGTGTTTAGCGCATTATTGCCCCATTATAATTGCAGCTCTGAATATCAAATGGCTCTTGCTTTTGGAGTCTTATCGACTTCTCACTTTCAAATCGTGGTCGCGCCTTTTCTTTGTCGCCACCCCTGTTGATTGCGCGATTGATCTATTCGATCCATCCGCTCCCGCCAATAGGCGTCACCGAGCTCGACTCGGATGTATCCTCAGTTTGCTTTTGTGAGCGCTCCTGTCCGCTCGCTTTCTTTTATAGCTTTGATTTTTTTCCCATGGATATGGTTCGTCTCTACGCCGGTTTTAGCCGTGGGCCCCGGCCGGCGAACCACACTTACAAGTCAGTTCCACGACTAAAAGCTTCACTGGCTTTTCGTGTTGCAGATGAGTCGCTCTCGGTCGAGATCGAGCGACCGCAACCGCAGCCGTCATTCGCGCTCAAGCAGTACGTCGTCCAGCGAGTCATCTGGTCGATCGAGCTCCCGTTCTCCATTGCCAGATCCCTCAGAGAAAGGAGAGCTGGAGCGTCAAAGACCCGTGCCAGGGTTGGACTATCACTCCCCTTTATTGGGGCTAGCCAAAATACCTTGTAGGGATGATTTTGCTTCACCACAAGAAGAAATACCCATCCCACCTGCTGTGTCGCAGGGGACTCAGAGCATCAGGATAAGCCTCTCTGATGAGGCTAGGCGCCGATTTGACCTAGTGGAGGCCGGGATTTAGATGTCCAGCAGTGAGCGAATAGCAACATTGAAAGATGTGCCGCTCGTCTCCTCACCGTTCGCAGAAGTAGCGATGTTGGGCGACCAACTTTCGAGGGAAGTCGAGAGGTCCATTCAGCTTCGTGAGGCAGACTTACGCGGTCTAAACGAAACCCTCATCAACACGATCAATATAGTCGAGCTGGCACGAAAGTTAGGAGCTGGCGGAGCAGGGACAGAATTTCCTTCCGTCATTGGATATTTTGACATTGCCAAAACACTGCTTTCGAGCTCCTTGCGCGACATCTCAATCTTCAGGAGAGAAAGAGTGTTGAGGTGGGTGTTTCAAAATTGCTAATATTAGTCATGGGTGTCGCGAGTCTCATTTCAGGTCTCCCGGACTGGACCCTTATAAGGCCATGCTTCCTATAGCAGACTTTCGCTTGCCGGGACCACAGTGGTTCACCGCATGTCCCGAGCAGTACATCCGGAACTGTTCGGACGCGAGTTAAGGGACGAACTGGCTGCGGGGGAAAGCACTTTGTTGAAGTCTGTGCAGAAATTGCGTGCCTAGAGATCGCGGAGAAGAGACAAGCCTGATACAAAGAAAAGAAGGTTGCTTTCCTCTCTTTCGCTTTATCCGCCAAATAATAAAAGTTAATATTTGCCAATATTAGCTCCGACCGGATTGCAGGTCGCTTGGCCGACTTTGCACAGAATTAGGGAAAGGTTACCACTGACCCACATGTGCTAGCTGCGGTGAAGGGTTACTCTCTGCTCTTCATGGCGAAGCACCGCACGCGCTTACCCTCAGCTTGGGTGGTCGCACAGCATTCACCTTCCAGCATTGACCCCGCGCTAAGTGAACTATTCACCAAAGGGATTATATGTAGGGCTGCTCGCAACACACACGTGTGGCTATCTAACTGTTCGGAGTTCCGAAGAGGGAGATGGGTCGACGAGACCGGTGATAAACCTCAGATCTCTGAACCAGTACCTTTGGATCCCTCACTTCAAAGAAAGGCTGCATCTCCTTGCGGATGTGATATATAGGGGGAATACTGCGTCAAGGTAGATTTTGGAGGAAGAAACCATTTTTCAAAAACAATGCTTAATTCAAAAGCTCTTTTTTTCTAGTTTTTCAGGCATATCTTCGTTTCCATAGATCTCTGTTCGCTTTGTGGTTGCGTACTTTGAAAAGACAGCGAAACAAATGTGAAAATTTTTGTTTTTGCTCTACCGCCGTGAAATCTACAGCCAAAAAAAAATTTCTTTTAAAACATACATAATGTTTGCTGAAGACTTGTGCTACGAAACGCTCATCGAGATATGATTTCAGAAAAAATTTGAACCTACAAATTTTTAGCTCAAAAATAACCTGTCTTTATGGTCCCCTCAAGTCACATAAAAGTCATAAACATATTGCATCGCGGAACTTTTACTCTATATAGTAAGATTAGAGCTAGAACAACTGCTAGAAGAACGAAAAGATTTCCTGGTTTGTCAACGGCGGACAAAATCAAAAATGACAAGAAATTACATTTTTGCCGCCTCAGAAAGAGCAAAATAGGTGGGTCCTTTCGGATTTTTCGGCACAAAATTTTTATGAAAGAGTTTGATGAAATCCAAAATTAGCGGTACTGGTCGGTCGATTATGGGCTACACTGTAAGCAGTGCTTGTGCAACTCAGCTATATTCCAAATCAAGTTATGCTTCTGCAAATTGAAGGTTTTTGCAAGGAATGTTCCTCGATTTTCTCCTATGAAATCTTCTACACTGTTACTGCAATAATCTTGAAGAGTGTGCAGAATAGCCAAAGATTTGCAGATCGTAATAAAGTTTATAGTGGTTGCAAAGATTATTTCTGAGAAGAGTTACGGTGAATCAAAGTCAAAGTTCGAAAACGGTTAGAACTTTTGAAACAACCCAATTTTTTACTTGCTTGCCCTTCGCCCTAGCTATAGCCGCGTACAACTATACAAAGTTATGCGCGTAGTAGCTCAGCACCTGCGCTCTGAGGGCGTTAGACTGATAATGTACCTGGATGACTGGGCTACCTTTGCCGGCAGCAGACAGAAGTGCATCCGCCACACGCCCTGAAGGTGTTTACAAAGTTAGGTCTACGGGTCAACACCGAGAAGTTTGTTCTCACACCAGGACAGAACCTGCACTTTTTGGGCATGGATATAGACACCGTAGCCATGAAATTTGCATTAACCAGCGACAAAATAGCCCGCATTTGAAACGAAGCCAGGTCACTGGCAGCGCAGGAGAAGGTGAAGGCTCAAGACCTCTCTCACTTTCTGGGAATAACAAATTTCGCAGCTGTTGCTTTCCCCGCTAGCCATGCATATGGCGCGGATTCCGCAACACGACTTGGCCGTAGTCGTAAACCCCCACGATGACTCCACCTATGAGGCGTCCTTGACCTTGTCTGATGAAGGCAAGAGAGACCTGTGCTGCTTTGCACAGGGGTTCCAACATGTGGCTTCCTCATCGTTTACCAAATTATCCCCTAACATCATCATCAACCGATGCATAAAATTCAGGATGGGGGCGATTGCTGCGGACAGAAGACGGGGGTCGCTGGTCTACAGAAGAGGCAAAGGCCCATATAAACACGCTTGAGTTGCGAGCTGCCTACTTCGGTCTTCTGTCCTTTGCTAGGGATTGGCACGATGTCGATATATTGATGGAGGTTGACAATATCGCTGCTATCGCTTATATCAAGAAACAGGGAGGCACTACTAACATAGCTATGACACTCATAGCTAGGGAAATGAGCAAGTGGGCGATAGAACGTAACATTCGTCTGTCAGCGCCACATATCGCCCAGGCACGCTAAATAGTCTGGCCGATCACGAGTCTAGAGTTTTCCGTCATGAAAAATCACAGTGGTCCTGGGATGCAGATATGGCCAAAATCATGTTTAGAACATTACTTCGGGTATCCGGATGTAGACTTATTCGCATCTAGGCTCAATAACAAATTGAAAGCCTTTTACTCTACAACTATGACCCAGGAGCACTGAAAATCGATGCTTTTGATCAGAATTGGTCGGGGATCTTCGGATACGCTTTTCCGCCATTCAACCTCATCGGTGTCTAATACAAAAAGCGGTCGACGAAGGAGCAACCCTCCTTCTCGTAACTCCCCTCTGGAGAACTCAGCCGTGGTTCCCCATATCACTGAGACATGCAAAGTCTCTACCATGGTGCCTTGTGTCAGAAGCCCCAATCAACACAGACACACTAGGGAGATCGCACTCCCTCACTGCTCAAAAGACTTCCACCTCTTAGCCTGGGTCGTCTCTTCCAGAAGTGGTCCACTTCAGGGCTCCAACGCCATGCAGTCGATTTGCTCATGGCCAGCTGGGCTCCCAATACTCACAAGGTATGAGTCCGCACTCAAGAAGTGGAATTCCTATCTGAAGCGTTCCTCGAATTCGCCCCAGACCGCGACACCAACATTGGTTTGCAATTTTGTAGCGGAACAGCTGAGCTCGGGGCTGACTTATGCAACGGTGGGCTCTTATAAGGCAGCTATATGCACAGTTAACGACTTGGGTTATGAATATGTTAATGTTTTGCCGAGCCCAAATTTTTACGGTGAATCTTTTAATGCCCTGCGTTTCGACACGTTTCGTCTTCTTCGGAAGCCTGAAAGAAGATTGCAGTTTTGATCTGTTGGACTACGCCGCCAAGCGCCATTCCCGTACCCATCGGGTGTAGACGTTGTCCCATGCACAACGTGCTGAGAGGCATGTCGAAAAAGAAACCAACCCTCGATTCACCGCGATATCGATGTTAGTAGTCCGCACTGAAGTACCGGACGGTAGCCGCACACTGATGTTGTAGACGGACGGCACTGAGTGTCACTCGTGTGTCACGTCTTTATATGGGTAGGGCTACTGCTCACATAACGATAGGAAGGGCAAAAGATCATCAGTTATCGACAGGCATTCATTCTTGTTGTTGATCCTTGGACACTTGATGAAAATCCACAAATCCAAGGTTTTTCTCGCAAAAATCTCAACGTAAGATTCACCGTAAAAATTTGGGCTCGGCAAAACATTAACATATTCATGAACACCAATGCCCAGATTCAGAGAAGAAAGGATTTGGAGTTTACTGACTTGGGTTATGGTTTCAACTGGTCCTCCGACCCGACCATATCACGCCTAATAAAAGGAGGCTTTCGATTTAAAAACCTTCTCAGCCACACTATGACTCCACCTGGAGTATAGACGAGGTGCTAAGATACATCCACAATCTAGGATCAAACGAGACGTTCTCACTAAAAGACCTAACTCTCAAGTTGACTATGCCCCTAGCATTGTGTTCTCCAAAGAGAGTGTCGGAAATAGCATCGCTGTTCTTGGAGGCGACGTATAAACAGCCTAACAGGTGGACCTTGTTTCTCGATTACAAGAACAAGACGAGAAGAACAGGCCCTCCACAAACGGCCATATATGAGAGCTATTTCGCAGAAAAGACACTGCGCTTGATAGCTACTCTTCGTGAGTACATCAAGAGAACCGCAGTTTTGCGTCGGGAGGAACAGCAGCTGTTGCTATCCTACCTGTATCCACACATGCGTATCAGTTCCGCAACTGTGGCAAGATAGATTAGAATCTTCCTAGATCAAGCTGGGATAGATACCACGTACTATAAGGCATTCCACGCGTGCGGCCAGCACTTTGAAAACTCAGCTGTTGGGCGCCACTCTGCCCACTATTATGCGTGCGGCATGCTGGGCTTCAGAAAGCACAACCTTCCAGAAGTTCTATCACAGAGAACTTTCGGAGCCCTCCCTTCCGGAGATAATTCTCCGAAGGTAATTTGAACGAGCCATTTGATATTTAGAGCTACAATTATTAGGGTGATCCAAAAGTAATGGGGCACCTTGATTTTTTTTACATTCTTCAAGATTTCTTTCTGATTAGCTATGAATGCCCAGCATTTTTAACGCCTTTGTATAAAGTGACCTTCGCAGGTTATATTGACAGCACCTTGCAGCACCTCACCGACATTTCTTCGAGTGGCGCTTCAAAGAAGTCAGGCAGACTTTTTTGAACGCCATCCGAATTTGGGCTGCTGCACCTGATAGTTCCTCGACATATGGCATACCATTCGAAAGAGCTTTCCAAGCTCTTTTTAATGATTACTTGAATATCCAAAAATTTCCCATCATTTCATACAAAAAAGGCACTTTATTCGGAAAAGTGCGGTGTTTGGCGCAGATTTTCAGGCTAAAATTCATGTTTTAGCTTATAATTTTTTGAAAATGAGAAAAGTCGAAGTAATTTGCATATGTATGGATAGAGCGTAAAAAGCACTATCAGAAAGCAACTGTTAAGGCTGAGCTTATTTGATTACCTTGATGAAAGAATAAGTAATATATCTCCTAATTTCCAATGCTATATCTTCTGTTCTAAAGCCTTGGGACCACCGAGCTATTGTGGATTTGGTGACAGTCCCCTCACCCATTACTGCGCACATATCTTTGGTAG